CTGTCCACATTGAAGTGTGTTTTAGAGAATGAGTAAGAGTTCAGTAGGTACAAGGGCAAGGAGACAACTTTCAGCGTGGAGAATTAAGAGATTCCAGAACTTGGTCCTTATACTCTGCATTTATTACAAGATGTTTGCATGGGAAGTGATGGGAAGTGAAATCTTAAAATTACACAGTCTATTGTAAAGGTGTGAACTCGAGTTCTCTGCTAATAAGTTTAGCATTGTGCAGGCTTTGCTGAATATGTAAAGATATAAGTTCATCTTGGTAGCATCAGAATTTGCTGTCCTCTTCCTTTTCAAAGAACAGATTTGTCTATTTGAGCATTTTTACAAATTTTCCCTGACTTGAAAGCTCCCTTTAATAGTATTTTTTCTTCCTTTTTTGAAGGAACTTAGCCCTGAGCTAACATCCACCACCCATTCTCCCCTATTTGCTGAGGCCATGAGCTAACATCCATGCCCATCTTCCTCTGCTTTATATGTGGGATGCCGGCCCCATCATGGCTTGACAGCAGTGTGTAGGTCTGCACCTGGGATCTGAACCGGTGAATCCTGGGCTGCTAAAGTGGAACCTGTGAACTTCACCACTGTGCCAGCAGGCTGGCCTCCCCTTTAATAGTATTTTCATGTTTAGTTTTAAGTAATAAGATGAACCACATGAAATTGTTGATTTCAACCATTCTGACCTGCAAAACTAACAATTTCATATGGTTCAAACTGTATATTATGGTTACAGTACCTAAGCTTTTTCATCATTTTATTGATCTTATGTGATTGAATGTAAAATGTGTTCTTAGTACTTTTTAAAATTATGTAATGCATGGAGATTGTATCATAAACTTTGTTTTTATACAAGTCGCACTATATAAATTTTCAACCACTTCACATTTACAAATAGTACATTAATTTGAAAAACTGTGTGAAAGTGCATAAAGAAAAGCATGATTTTTTGACAAATTCTAAATGGCATTGTATCATGTTTGACCTGCAGGAAGAACAAATATTAAAATGTTATTTGTGTTTCACTACAAATTATACCATCAATAGTGGACCAAAACAGTTTTTATAACCTTGGGTTTAAAATCGCTACAACTTACACTTAAAGTCTCAGCAGAATTATTTTCTATAACGTTCACGGTTTTAATAAATTAGGAAATAATAAACGAGTTGATCTGTAAGCATTTCTCTACAAATACCACATGTCACAGCCCAGGGTAAGAAAAGATCTCCTGGTTCCCTGCTCCTTTGGGATGCTTTGGGTGCAAGGCACAGCAGTTTCTTTACCTCCAAGGTGGCTCAGAGTTTTGGTGAGATAAACAAGGAGATAAACACACCTCCTAAGAATTGTTTGTCTTTTCCCCTTGGAAACTAGTCATCCTGAAGCCACACAGAGGAAAGACATAATCCCTTAATTGATCCATGATTAGCAACATGAGTAGTCCTTCCCTTGAAATTGGCGTCCTTATATTTTCTTTTCTGCTTTTTCTTGGGTCGGTCACAATAATTACAACTGTTCAATGACTGTTCCTGAGTTTTATCAAAGAGGCTTTGAAAAGCTCCTACTTATATAACTAAGTTTAAATCTTAGCTAAGGGGTTTTAATTCTCTTTAGACTCCCATCTATGGGAATGAAACAAAACATCAAGAACAACAACAACAAAACGACAATAATTGCTACTTCATACAACAAATGGTAATTCACCATATCAACTATGAATGACTTATTGAATGGGTGCTATGTTTCCAGAAACTTCTTTGCTTAGAAAGGAAAGATACTTTGAAAAACAGAATAACTATTCAGTTTACTAAATGTATTAGATCTCATGATGAATAAGAGATCTTTAAGAGATGTATATATGAGTCTGGCTTTCTACAAAACAGAGCCTGAGACAAGGAATTGAGTGGAGAGAACTTATTTAGGAGGTGTTCCTGGGAAGAAGTAGTGAAGGAATAGGGAACGGGAGACAAGAAGAGAAGGAGGAAAAGCCAAAAGAAAGATTCATCATTGGGGTCAACACTGTGGACAACTGGGGATTCCTCTAGGCTATTTGGAGAAAGATTCATTGCCTTCAGAATTATCTCCTGAAAAATAGGATGCTGGAGCATTTATCCGTGAGAACTCCTCTCTTGGTTTAGTGTTTTTGTGTCTGATACAATCTTTAACTCTTGAGTAAGAAAAATGTGAACAATTGGGTTGCTAAGTAGAAGTGGGGGAGCTGCAACAGTTCTAAGCTTTGAGGGTTATGGGAAAGAGGAGGATATAACATTCCAGATTAGATGACACTTGGCCTTTTGTTAGAAACTAATGCTGTGATGGTTGAAAGAATAAAGTAAATTCCTACTCACTTTCTAAATTTAGCCCAATACCAGTTCTTCTAGTTATTCTGTTTGTTCTATCTCACAGGCTCACTTCTTCTCTATATCCTAACCTTAGAAATCACAAAGAAAGAATTAGAGACATGAGTTTTGGTTTTAAAAGTCTTAATTTATTCTTAATATTCTTTTATGACATACCTGAGGAAAAAAGGTTATTTTTATCACTCAGATTTTCAGTATTTTTACTTCTAAAACAGATTAGATGGTTTCTAGGGGCTTTTTTTAGACCCGGAATTTGTCATGATTTGTGTCTTGTAAGCAAGCTCATTAGTCAGTCTTGCCTCTACCATATTCCTTCCTTCTGTAACTCATATGTACACAGAGTTGTGTACATATGGACATACAATGAATTTAAAATGTTACCATAAATCATTGCTCATATCCATATATTCTCCTCTTTTTACCTGATACACTGACTGAGGTTCTCACCTTTAGATTTGATTCTTTGAGTTAAAGTATATTTCTAGAAGGTTTATGCAAAATATCCAGTACATAAAATATATCGGGAGCAGTAAATACAATATTGGTTATAGAAGTTTTAAATCTGACCATGAAGAAAAATAGTTTCCAAGTGGCAAAAATTAAGTATTGGCAAGATGCCAAGCAGAATATAACCCGCCATGAATTTCATACTTTCTATTGCAAAAAATAATGGGGATATGTGTGTTTGGGGGGGTTGTCATTATACTGTCCTGGCTGAGAGAACAAGCTTTCCTTAGATTAGCTTATAATCTGTCTGATGCACTGAATTCAAATCTTTGAATAATCAGTTCCCGTGTTGCTAAGGCAAACCACTGAATTAACATTACTTAAAAGGCCCAAGCGGAATGCTATTTAAAAAAGAAAGAAAATGATTTTTGCTCTAGAATATCTAATTTTTCTAATTTATAGTGAAAAAACTTTTCCTTATTTCTTTCATTAGTGTGTTGACCAATAAGTGAAGAGCGCTTCTCAACCCAAAAGGCTTAAAGAGAGTAGAATACATTATTTAGCTATATTCTTTGTAAATACATACCTGGTTGAACAATCAAATGGAGAAATGGGGGCTATTAAACATTCTCTGCTTCTAAACACTCTGGGCCAGGGCACTAGAAACAGTGATTCCTCTCTCTTGCAGGGAAATCGTCATCCAGTGTGTAGACAAGTGCCAGAGTCATCTGTCAAAACCCAAAGAGGAGCCAGCCCTGATGGCCTAGTGGTTAAAGTTCAGCACTTTCATTGCTTCAGTGGCCTAGGTTCGGTTCCCTGTTGTGGAACCACACCACTCATCTGTCAGTAGCCATGCTGTGGTGGCAGCTCACATAGAAGAACCAGAAGGACTTACAACTACAATATACAACCATGCACTGGGGCTTTGGAGAAAAAAAGAAGAAAAAAGAGGAAGATTGACAACAGATGTTAGCTCAGGGTGAATCTTCCCCTGCAGGAAAAACTAAACAAAATAAGGAGAATATGAGGGGTTTAGGATGTGGTTTTGATGATTTCCCAGTTCTTTTATAACATAGCATTTTCATGTTGCTTATCCTTCTGTAAAACTGCTTTAAACATTATAATTTATTACAGAGTCATAAAATAAGGATTTTAGGGTGGATCAGCATGTTTGAAATTGCAATCAATGGTATGCACCTTCATTTCTTTTGGTGAGGAAGTTGATATGAACAGAAGTTAAAGCAATTTTTCCCATGTCACACAATTAGTCAGTGGTAGAGCCAAGACTAGAAACGGTTTCTGATTTCTAGTTACTTTGGTAAATTAGACATAATTGACCATTTTAGAGGGTTGAATAAATGGGACATGTTGTCTACGTGTAGTTCTGAGTGAGTAGCAGTTGTGTCCTAAGGACAGGGTGATGGAGTTTCTGCCCTGGATCGACAGTCCTCATAGCAACTGTTTAGAACTTAGGCCAATGAATCATGTTTTCTAGGAAGAATAGTTTATCACTGACATTGTTTGGAATTGTGGGCACATTATTATTATTTTTAAATTCTCCACAGATGAAGTACCCCAATATAGATGACTCCCACTGCCCTGTAATTGGTATGCCACAGGTCAACAGTGAATTACTAATGTCCATTTAAGTTCCAATATGATACAGCAGCCTAACTGATGCAAATTATCAGATGAGATTTAAGCCAGAAGAACTGTGAGGATGGCATGGAAATGGGGTTTGAATATGTACCTTGCCTCTGTTATGTAATGAATTTCTTTCCCCAGAGACACTCAAGTTCTGTTTTTGGCTTAAGCATCATAAGAATACCCAAATTTAAGACTGAGAGATAAATGTTTGCTTTTACAATATCATCATCTTATATGCCCTAATACTATGCCAGATGTGTTTTTGGAATAGAATAGTTAAATATCTTTTTTAAAAACTTGTCCTCTATTGATTTAGTTAATGTTTGCTGCTTTGGATACAAAAGTGAAACTTGGCAAGTCACATAATTCAGTTTGGCTGAATACTCACTTTTCTGGCAAACAAACTGTCCCCAACATAAATCCACCCTAAAGTTTACAGAGGTTCAGCTTCCGTCCCAATTGAAATGGGAGCCTAGCTAAGAGTACACGGAGAGAGCTGATTGGCTGGTGCAGGGTGGGCAGGATGTATAAAAGGCAGCTGTAGCTCAAACCTTGGTGCTTCTCAACCAGTGCATTTTCACCATGAGTGGGTGCCCATTTTTAGGAAACCGCTTTGGGTGAGTATTTACCTCTATTCTAAGTACGGTTAGGCTCTTAGAAACGGCAAGTAGAAACGCTTTAATTTCTGAATTTTCAGAGCGTTGAAAACCGTCACCTTTAAAATCATCTACTTGAAAAAATTAGCAATAAGAATTTCAATCACTCATATTATTAGTTACTGTGCTTTCTCAAGATCTATTTTTTTTCTCCTCACTTATTTAATCTGCAGGTATACTTTTAAAAACCTATCTGTAGACGGCAGTGAAGAGGACAAATCACAAACGGGTGTGAATAGAGCCAGCAAAGGAGGACTGATCTATGGGAGGTACCTCCACGTAAGTGGCAGAGTCGCCACACTGCTCCACTTCCATTAGTCGGCACTACATTTTCCCAAGCTACATTTTCATGTTTTCGTCTTTTTGGTTTTTTCTCAGTTACCAAATAGTTTTCTGGACCGAAAGCTATCGCTATTCATACAAATATGTGCTGTTTCAACTTGTGTTAGAACAATTCTAGAGTCTTCTACGTGAAAAGTCACCTGTCAGGCAGAGACACAGTAAAAGCAGAGAATGTGGAATCTGGCTGAAGACCCTAAACGATAAGATAACGCGCAGATAACTGACAGGCATTGCATAACTTGTATAAATAAGACATGGTCAATAAATCCCAGCCTGGACAATTGCAAACACATCCAGAGAAAATGTTCTTTTAAATCCCTTATAATAAAGTAGAAATGTTGAGGGTACATATTTTCTTGAAATCGTTAGTAAATAAAAGAGGGATATTAACAAATGAGGTATTTGGAGATTATTCCAAGGTAAGTTTCAGCCTGTTTGCCTTCTGTATTTTTTAAGAAGTGAAGTGATTATAGCCGTTGATGCCTTCATTGATGGGTTTCTAAGGATGAGCGGATAAAAAAATGTTAAGATCTTCCCAGAATAGGCTCTTTGGGGGAATAAAAGAGAGGAAGATACACAGTCAGCTAAGCAAGTTATCGAGCTCTTATCATAGTCATTTCAAGAGAGAGAAGGGATATGATTTTCTCAATGAGTCATAATAGCATTTGTTATGGTAGAATCTTACCAAATATAATTACTTCTGAAAAGAATAAAAATCATAAATTCAACTCACTCTTTATGACAGGACTCATTAGTTGTTTAGAAGAAAATAGTTTGGTTTCTGATAATTTGGGAATTTGGGGGACTTTTTTTCAGTATTGTATTCTACTTCTTATTAAAGTTAATTTAAAAAACATTCCACGGCCTGCCAGGTGGCGCAGCAGTTAAATGCACACTTTCCGCTTCGGTGGCCTGGGATCCGGGGTTCAAGGGTTCAGATCCCGGGTGCAGACATGGCACCGCTTGGCACACCGTGCTGTGGTAGGCGTCCCACATATAAAGTAGAGGAAGATGGGCATGGATGTTAGCTCAGGGCCAGGCTTCCTCAGTGAAAAGAGGAGGATTGGCAGCAGTTCGCTCAGGGCTAATCTTCCTCAAAAAAAAAAAAAAAACTGCAACTTAAAAATCAGTCTTTCTTTTGTCTTTTTTTTAGCTTTTTAAAGAGATAATTAACATCTAACATTGTGCAAATTTAAGGCATACAACACATTGACTTGATACACCTTACACTGCAAAATGATTACTAACATAGCATTAGCTGACGCCTCCATCACGTCACATAATTACCATTTCTTTCCTGTGACGAGAACACTTAAGATCTGCTCTCTTAGCACATTTCAAGTGTATAATATAGTGTTATTAACTATAATCACTATGCTATACATCAGATCCCCATAATTTATTCATCCTATAACTGGAAGTTTGTACAAAATCAGTCTTTCTATTTCTTTTGTTTAAAGTTGGAAAAAGTTTTGAGTGCACAGGAACTTCAAAGTGAAGTAAAAGGAAATAAAATCCATGATGAACATCTTTTTATCATAACTCACCAAGGTAAGTTGCACAGAAGGTTGACCAATAACTATCCCACAGGCATTTCGTATCAAGAATGAGGAAAGCTGCAATTCTTTTAACCATAAGATGGTGAAAGATTAAGAAATCACCTTTGTTAGAAATGCTTGAGAATACTTTGCTGCCAGACAAATTCTCCTAGCACCTTCCTCTTGGATTTCTAACAGTCTTCTTTATGTTACTTCTCTGCTAATTGGATCCAGCAGGACTTAATCTTTGTCATAAATCCAAGGAAACTTTCTATCTTTTGAAATTCACAAAGAATTTGAAAGCTAAGATGTTACTATTTTCAACTTGGGACTTTAAAAAAAACTACTTTTAAGAAATAGATCACAAATTTATTGTGACTTTACATAACTGTACATCAATCTGTTACTAAACAGAAATGTAAATTTTATCTGAAATGTGTGTTTATCCTCCCCAGACTTCTAACCTCTGGGCAGTGATTTTTAGTGTAGGAGTGCATGACTTTCGGGGTTCAGAAAGTCTCTGAACTCTCTGGAATTGTGAGCAAAATTTCAGGAATACATGTCTTAAAAAGGTCTATGATGCCTAAACATTAAGATTTACCCCAAGACTGTTGGTGTCATGATACTGTCCTCTGGCTGACGAGAGCACAATGGCTCGTGCTAGTCAGTGCCCAATTTCTAGACGTGTTACCTTTCCCTACCAGTCTTTGTGTCATTTCCTCAAATGTTTGTTTGCTTCACTGACTGGCAAAAAGGGTCAACCCTGAGTAAAATATTAAAGATGGACAACAATTGGCTTAATGTGTTACTTCTCCTGTTTTTATGTTTACATTTTTATTGGCAGCTCATTTCAAAACAGAATCAATAGGGGAGAAATCATAGCAGAGTGGCACCAATTCGGAATTAGCAAATTGTTTAGAATCCCATGTCTACCATTATAAATTGTGTGAACATGCTCAAGTTTCTTCACCAATAATGCTCTCCATTTCCTCATCTGTTTAATGGAAAGAATAACTGTATCTTCGCATTCATAGAGTTCTCATGAAGATGAAATGAGATGATGTGCATTATGATCCTAGCCCAAGGTATAGCACATAATATGCATACAACAAATGGTAGCCAGCATTATTTGATAAGGAGATTTTTCTCCCATCCTTCAATGGGTCATGGGACTAGCCACACAAAGTTAAACCTGAAAAATAGAAACATAAACTGATCAAGAAATATTTGATTTGCTCTTTGTCCAAATATGAAAATCAAATCCCTGAAACTCTCCTTAAATGTTAAAGTTGTAATTTATTTCCCTAATTAGTACAGAAATATAGCCTTTACCCATACAACAGCACCAAATGGAGTACACGAAAGAAGTCTGAGGTTATTGATTTTCTACACTGAAGTAATGACTACACTGGCTATTTAATTCGTTTATTCATAACATAATCACCCAGTGTTTCTCTTATGCCAAACACTGTGCTAGATACTGAGGGAAATAGATGGATGTGACAAAGTTTTAAACTATTCATAAGCTTGTCCTCCTCATAATATTCTAAGACCCTAGACACCAAATACTAGTTCCTCAGTTTATGGATGAAGTTGAGTATTACTTCTGCTTCTCCACATCCCTCCAGCTTCCATACGGGAAGTTAGAAATTGGTTATGTGCTATACCCTAAAGGATCTAAAGAAGAGATTTGTTGAGGGAAATCAATGTAATAATAACAAATATAAAACATGGAGACAACATGCCTGGCATGTTAAAACATTCAATAAAAGGAAGTTATGATAACTTGATTATTAGTATTTGTTTATAACACAAAATAGGGTTATGTCGGCCTTTATTGATTTTTAAGTTACGTTTTTATTCCTCTTTCAATGTGTTTCCCGTGTCTTTCATATCATTATGGTCAAAGAGGCTCCCATAACTTTCCGAGTGACAATGGTTTTCTGATTGCAGCTTATGAACTCTGGTTTAAGCAAATCCTGTGGGAATTAGACTCTGTTCGAGAGATCTTTCAGAATGGCCATGTGAGTTATGATGTCGCAATATTAGTTTCATTTTTTTTTTTGGAGAATGTAGAAAATATTATTAGTGAGAACATTTTAACATCAAATGTTAGAATTATTACTTAATGAAAAAAAAATACCTTTCTGAGTGGACAAGATTTTAGTCATATTTTCCAGTGCCATTGCTACACTGGAACTACACATTGCTTTCAGGTTCCCATCAAATTTCAGTTTCAGGCCCCTTGTTTAGAACTCCCCCCCCCAATGTTTTCTTTTGGCCTAACAAAATGTTGTTATAAATGATGGTAGATTGCCAGGAGAGCTAAGAGAGATCCTTTAATTAATAGGTGCCAGAATTGTCTTTCTGATGAATATTTGCTGTGGGAAGATAGCAACAATAATGAGGAAAATAAAACAGGAAGAGAAGGAGAAGGTAGGAAAAGAGTAGCAGGAGGAAGAAAAAGAGAAAAGAGGCAAAGAGGAGGGGACTAAGGGAGAAAAGGACAAGGGGGATCAAGAGCAGAGCAGAGCTTCAGGTGACTGCAGAAATCCAAACTGCACCTTCCCACCTCCCACCCTGCTTCCTGCTCCCACACGCCTTCCCGACACGCCCTTGGGTCCCCTACCTCTGGGCCTCTGCTCCAAGAGGGGCTGGAAAAGATAGAACATCCAAACACAGACAGTTCTCTTCTTACATAAGTGCATACAATTCCCATTGATGTCAATGGCAACTTTGACCCTCAGTGAAGAGCAGATTTGTCCAGGTGTTGCTTAATCCTCACCCAGAAGCTTCTGTGTTACCTTGAGCTTTATTCTTTAAAGCAAAACTAGAGAGAAATTTGTTTTGAAATCAGTGGAACCTGTGTTCCAGAATTGCTTCTAACTTGTTTCCATATAATTTTCTATTTTAAAAGAAAGAAAAATGATTTGATTCTGATTTTGCAGATATTCCTTGCACACAATTCAGAGTTGCTATTAATTCAACATATACTTATGGCAAATTTTAGTTCTAATGTTCTTCTTTAAAATAGGGATAAAATGATTAGGAATGCATTGCTATTTATAGTCTATTTTGTATCTTCTAATAATTAGAATTGATTACTCAGTGTTTCATTTCCTAACCATCAGGTCAGGGATGAAAGGAATATGCTTAAGGTTGTTACCCGGATGCACCGAGTGGTCGTGATCCTTAAGCTGCTGGTACAGCAGTTTTCCGTTCTGGAAACGATGACAGCCTTGGACTTCAATGACTTCAGGTGTGCACTTGTGGTGTAATAACGCAGTGGGATTTACCTTCTCATTCTGGTGGGGGAAAAGGAGAACATGTGTGTTGTGTGACGTGAGAAGCCTCTTCTACTGACACTTCATCACTATAAGCACTTGAGAGTCTTAATCACAAAGACTTTGAGAAGTTATCGAAAACATTTCATCGCTCACTTTTACATACAAACATAATATGGTCAATTAGTTTCAATTCATTGTTGTGTGCCATGTTTTTATCCAAGAAGGATTTCAGACAACTATCCAAAATGGCTAAAATGGATAATATAATACACATAACTAAATTAAAATAATTAAAAACTAAAAAGAGAAATAGGAGTAATATACAGAAAAGCCTGTCACCAAAAGTGTCAGTACAAGTTATAGGTTGAACATAAATTTCAGTTCTGCATTTCCAGGCAGCCAAAGCCATATATATATCAAAAAAAAAAAAAAGGATTTTTCATACCAAAATTTGAGAACAAATGTTCTTATCAGGTGCATTCAATGATGTAATAGGCAGTGTCTCCAACATGTTTGACAACCAAAGGAAAAGTAGTAGAATTCCTTTGTGGTGGGTTGAAAAAATTGAAGTCTTAGTACAAATTAGGTGAAGGAAATTTACAAGAGTACAAGAATGTGAGTGGTTGTGTGAGGTGGGAGTAATAACATTTTTTGATGGCCTAGGCAATGAAAAGGATGTTTTTGTGCTAGGCAATATCCCATTTGTTTTACTTGCAGTATTTCGCTGGTGCTCATAATAATACTAGGCAGTGAAATTAACAGTAATATCCAAGAACATAACTTTTAGGAGGGACTGAATAATATTTATAAAGAGTTTTTTAGCACCATTGAATAGAAAATATTGCTCAATAACCACTTGTCTTTATCTTAGGAAAAAATTTAGTACACGGCACACCCGAATGTGACATTTCACAAACTAAAAATACACTCCAACTTTAAACTGATTGACTGACAGCGACAATGATGTTTAAGTAGCTCATTTTCCTTATTTCAGAAAGGTCCAAATCGAGGTCCAACTCTAAGTAGTTGTGGGTCTGTGTTCTTGGTGATATCTAGGAGAGTGAAACTGACAACCTTTTGCAATAGAAGAAATCATTGCAGGAATTCACGATGTCAACTCTTCTCTTCTTGTGTCTTCTCTCACCCTCCCCTGTTTATTCTCTAAGAGAGTACTTATCTCCAGCATCAGGCTTCCAGAGTCTGCAGTTCCGACTACTAGAGAACAAGATCGGTGTTCTTCAGAGTTTGCGAGTCCCTTACAACAGAAGACATTACCGCGATAACTTCCAAGGAGAAGATAATGAACTGCTACTGAAGTCCGAGCAGGAAAAAACACTTCTGCAACTGTTGGAGGCACGTGCTCAAATACTATTTCTAAAGTCTAATTCAATACATCTTGTTAATTTAGCTTTTACTAGATCAGAATTTTAAAACTCATCTTCAAAGTTGGGTTGCAGTCATTGGAAATAAAAACAGAAAGAATTTGTAAAAATACTTAAACTCATAAATTCAACTAATTAATATATTTAAAATATTAAGAATTCTTGAGAACTTCAGAAATATTTGTATAATCAATGATGTTAATATTTAATAACTATCTTCTTAAAACAAACTTTTTAAGCATTCTTATTAAGCAACATTTAATTAGCTGATTTTTAAATGGACTATGGTTATTCAATGAGCTTTATTTCTTTTTTATTTTTCTTTCTTTCTTTTTTTTTTTTGAGGAAGATTAGTCCTGAGCTAACACCCACTGCCAATCCTCCTCTTTTTGCTGAGGAAGATTGGCCCTGAGCTAACATCTGTGCGCATCTTCCTCTACTTTTTATGTGGGACGCCTGCAACAGCATGGCTTCATAAGCAGTGCTGGGTCTGCACCCAGGATCTGAACCAGTGAACCTTGGATCGCTGAAGCAGAGCATGCGAACTTTGCCACTATGCCACCGGGCCGGCCCCTAGTTTATTTCTTTACAATGTTCCATAATTGAAAGTTGTGTATTTTTCTCAATTAAACTCAGCTACTAAGAGTATACTCTTCAGAATTTTTCCTTCATATTTTAATTTCCCATCGGTCTATAAATAGTCTTGAGGAATTATTAATTTGTTTCTTCACACGTAAATTACTGAATAAGGATTGTATAGTCTTGATTTCCTTCCGAAAGCCTTTCCTTTGCAAATAAAACTTTCCTTTTAGTGAATTATACCCTGCTCACTAATCCCGTGGGTATTGTAAATGTAGATTTAGGTTAATATATTACATATAATGCCATAAAAATGTTTATAAAGATAGAGAGAGAAAGAACTACAAAGCTAATTTCAAAACCAAAAATACGTTAAATGAGAACCCACAGATATGCATGAATTCAGTTTTATTTCTGGATTAAAAAGTCTTGGGGAATCTTAAAATAGTTGAGTTGTTAGTTGATTTCAAAGTGACTAAGTTCACCATGCATTTAGAAGAGATCCTATCTTATACATGCCATAATTCCTTCTGTTCCCAGGACGTAAGGTATTTTGAGGATAAAGCAGAAGACTTCATTGAAACAATGTTTAGATATGTGCGTAGATTTACAGAACAAAATAGAGATTTCTATAGTAACGTCTTAATAAAGAGTAAACATTATTAATATGACTGCCTTACAGATGAAGAAAATAAAATATAATAAATATATAAAATATAATATAATAAAAATAAAATATATAGTTGCTATTTTGTAAATGAAGAAATTGAAAGGAAAGAGAAAATATTTACAAATAGAAAACTTATGACGTATGTTTCTCAAAACCGTGAAGATTTCCTGTTTCAAGTTCTAAATGTTAGTTACAATTTATTTTACATATATTAACTTTTACAATGTATTCACTTAAAAATAATATTTTCTTAAGGCATGGCTGGAACGAACACCAGGTTTAGAGCCACATGGATTTAACTTCTGGGAAAAGTTAGAAACAAATATTGTCCAAGGGCTGCAAGAAGAATTCACAAAACTTCAGGTATTTACGATGCTTTAAGTAAATTTAAGTTTACTACAGAAAAAGTATTGGGAATTTTATTTTAACAATTCTCCACTTTTCTCTTAACCTTTCATTTGCCCAATATTTTTCCTTCCAAGTGCCTTTGCTTGAAATATGTTACAAGATTTATTTCATTTTATTTATGTGCAATAAAAATCATATTAAGTTAAGGAGTTCATTGTAGACAAGATTTTGTCTGTGCTAAAGAAATGAGATTACTAGACTTTTTTCTTTCGTTTCTTTTGACAGAAGTAGGCACACAAAAGACCAGTTAACCAAATATATTTAGCCATTTAATTTTCCCTTCACTTTTATATATATTTGCTGGGTCCTTCCCGTTGGCTCTCAGACAATGTCAAGTTTCTCTCACTTAAAAAAAATACTGTTGATTCCTCAATTGCCCTCAAGTTACAAGCCCCTCATTCTGGCTTCATGACTAAATGGCTTGAAAGAGTTGTTTCAGTTCTCTCTCTTGAGAGGCTGTGCCAGGTAGTCCTTGTGTGCAGGGCCTTGGAAGTCACACTCCATGTATTCAAATCTCCCCTCCACCTCTTAACAACTGTGAGACATCGAACTTCTTCTGTTAGCTATCCTCTCTTTGCCTCACTTTCATCATTGGTAAAATAGAAAATAAGAGGATCTATCTCAAAGAATTATGATGAGCACTAAGTTAGCTTAATATCTGTAAAGTATTTAGAATAGTTTGTTGTTGTTAGTGTCATCCAGTGGATTCCAACTCTTAGAGACCCTGTGTACAACAGAGCGGAACCCTGCCTGGCTTTTGTGCACCATCCTCTCATCTTCTGGCCCTAGATCAGATAATGCTCCACTGTTGTTCACAGGATTTTCACGGCCAATTTTTTTGGAAGTGGATGGCTAGGTCCTTCTTCCTACTCTGTCTAGTCTGGAAGCTCACTTGAAACCTGTCCACCATGGGTGGTTCTGTGGGTATTGGAAATACTGGTGGCATAGCTTTCAGCATCACAGCAATCCACAGCTGCCACAGTATGACAACCAGCAGACAGGTGTGGTTCCCTGAAGGGAAACGAACCTGGGCAGTGGTGGTGAGAACGACAAATCCTAACCACAAGACCACCAGGGATATAGAGTAGTTAACGTAATTATTTCTTTATCCCCCATCTAATCCTGAACCCAATCCAATCTGTCTTCTTGCCCCATGATTCACAAATGGTCTCCCTATATATAAATCCAATGGCCATTTATTATCTTCATTTTACTTGACCTCCCAGTGACAGTCAATACTCATGATTATTTACTCCTTTTTGAACCCATTTTCCCCCTTGGATTTGGCACACAACATTCTATCTTCGTCTAATTCTCGGGCCCTTATTTCTCTATTTCCTTTATTGGCTCATTTTTCTCTCTCAGAACAATAAATGGTGGGGTCTTGCAATGCATTGTCTTAGATGCATTGTATTCTCTCTCTGTGCTCTTTCACTAGATGAACTCATTGATACCCACTGCTTCAGTATCTATTTACACACCAATAATTCTCAAAAGTTATCTCTAGCTTAGATAGCTAGATCATTTATTTAACACCCTAGTTTACATTTCCTCCTGGTCCTTTCAAAAACACTCTGATAAAGCCAAACTTAAAAGAATTTCCCCTTCCTTCTACTCTTCTTCAACTTGGTCTTTCCAAGTTGAAGTTTGTTTTTGTTTTTTTTTTTTAATTTCTCTCTTCCCCCCTCCTCCCCGCCAAGAAGATTAGCGCTGAGCTAACATCTGCCAATCCTCCTCTTTTTGCTGAGGAAGACTGGCCCTGAGCTAACATCCGTGCCCATCTTCCTCTACTTTATATGTGGGATGCCTACCACAGCATGGCCTGCCAAGCAGTGCCATGTCTGCACCGGGGATCCGAACCGGTGAACCCCGGGCCGCTGAAGCGGAAGGTGCGCACTCAACTGCTGCGCCACTGGGCCAGCCCCCAAGTTGAAGTTTTTCTTCTATAGGCCATCTAGTTTGTCAAGTCAGACATGTACCATTGATACTTGGCACCTCCCTCTTCCTCAACCACTTCTTTAAGCTATCACCAAATCCTACCAATTTTACCACCTAAATAGCTCTGAAATATCTGCCTTTAATCTACCACCACCAATCAAGTACAAACTGCCGTTGTTTTCAACTGAGACTAAAGTAATATTCTCTCAATTATTCTGTGTCTCTCACATATGGCTCCATTCCAATTTATTCTCCAAACAGCAATTTGAGCAATTTTTTCAAAATGCAAATCTGATTACATTTTCCTTTTGCACAAAACCCTTTGATGTCTCCACATTATTTTCAGGACAAAGACAAAAATTCCCAACATGGTTTGCAAGGTGTTTCATGATCTCATGTGGTCCAATCATCCTGGATTTCCTTTATGCTGAATTTAGTTCTTTGAATTTCCTACCATAGAATCTTTTATATGTTCTCTCTGGCTTGGAATGTTCTTTCCCAGGTAACTCCTTCCCATTCTTCAGGTCTTGGCTCAAGGAAAACTTCTTTAGGAAGGTCTTTCCTGACCTCCCTACTACTGTCAGTGATTACAGCACTATCCTGCTCTTGGATACCACCGTCCCTGGTAGCAATTTAACGCTGTGGTGACTGTTCGTTCAATGTCTTATTCTCACCAGATAATAAACTGCATGAGATCAGAGAACTCAATTTTTGCTCGCAATTTTATCTCTATCACCTTAGCCTGAAATTTACTGAGTACATGAGTAATTAATTGACAATAACGTGCATACAAGTTCTTACCACACAGTGTGGTTGTTCTGCAGAATTGAAGATAATTGGGTTAACTAATTTTTGCTCCAGCTCAAGGAATTGAGTTATAAGTAGAGCATGTGTTGTAGGCAAAATAATAATAATAATAATAATAATTTCCTTAAACAAATCAATAGATATCAAAAGAGTAAAAATATTGAGTAAAAAATATTAAAGAAATTATATTTACAGAATACAATAGTAAATATAGAATTTCAATAGAGTTAATAGCTTTTCTGACTAGGAATTCCTGACTTTTCCTAAGTGGCATTACTTTACTTCCTATGTTAAATGATTGCTATCTAAAATTAGATCATTACTGACCACTTGCAGTTACCTCCAGTTTCACCAATCTGACTTCTTTTCTCACTATATTTATGAAGAAAATATTTGATTGACAAATCATTTAAACTTAAATAAAAGAACAGAATCATTAAGTGTGAAGAATATCCCTCTCATAAGCCATAATTTCCAAGTTGTACCATCAGATGATATGGTAAATATTCCAAGTGCATCCTTTCTGCAATAGGCAAGGCTATTTCTCACAAACAGTGTTTTCTAAAATAAGAATCTATTCTCTCTCGGGAATATTAATGCAGTATTTTCCCCAAAGGCTAAGGAAGAGTCGGAGGAAAAGGAGGAACAAATGGCTGAATTTCAAAAGCAAAGAGAGGTGTTACTCTCCTTATTTGATGAGAAACGTCATGAACATCTCCTTAGTAAAGGTATTTTTATTCTATGGATTGTTACCCTGCAATCTGAGCAGATCAAAATATCAGGCCCAACTTGGGAGAAATAAAATGAAAATCAATAATCCATTCAGAAACAAGAAATGGGTTAATGTTATGAATGATAGCCCTGTGTTAACAGGTTTAAATGCCTAAAGACATTAGTGGAAACCTTCCCAATCTGTGTCAGCCATGAGGGATACCAAGATAAATCGAATATGGTTTTTCAAGTAGTTCACAGATTAATAGGAACAGAAGTGAAGACAAGCAGTGTAGTTGTAAATACTACAGTAGCAGTAGAAGAGGAAAGGATTAACTCTATTATGAGGCTGGGGTGGCTTGGCAGAGGAAATAAGTTTCCCACAGATCAGGAAAAGCACACATTTAGACTTCTGGCATAATTAATATTGAGCTATTATTTTCTGAAACTAATTGATAAGTGTAATTAATATTTTCATCATTTAACTCTTTAATCTGTTTGAAAATTTTGTGCTCATTTTTATTTGGAACTTTTATTATAAAGTACCTATAAATCTTTTGGCAACAGAATAGAAGTAAAAATTAATTTTGGTAATACAAGTACAAGGCAGAGCAGTATATGAAATTAGTATTGAATTCTATAATCTTAAAGGTTGTTAGCCTCAGTTTTCTATAAAACCTCAGTAAAGAATAGCAAACCTTGTTTTCCTGCAGACAGAGCAAAGTCTTTCCTTAAAACACATATATGAGATTTTGTATGACGGTTGTGCTCCTTGAAGCCAGGAGATTTTAAGTAATTTTAAGTGAATTAGAGAAAACTACTTTCAAATGAAACTTGGAAAGAATCTGGTTTAACTTTTTGAAAAGTAAGTCATCGTATTATTTTACTTGAAAAATATGTTCTATCATGGAAGTTAAGTATTTTCTGTATGATGTTTTCCTAACATGACATAAAAGTGAAATTTTAAAGATTACATATACTTTTAATTTGCCTTTTAACATTCAATATTAAAATAATATTTTAAATGCTAGTTTTCCAGATTCAAGCTAAAGAATAAGAAAGTTAAACTAACACATCATTTTCAAAAAACATATAACAATTATTTAAGATAATGATGCCAAAGTAAGACAAGACTGCCTTAAATCACCCATTCAATAAACACTTACGGTGTATCTTGCAGGTGACAGACGATTATCATATAGAGCGCTTCAGGGGGCCTTGATGATATATTTTTACAGGTAAAAGCAAATCAGAAGAGAAGTAGAAGTTAAAATCGAGGAGTGGATATAGAAAGCACATCAAGTATGAAGCTTATAAACTGCAATTACAGTTTTAAAAAGTAATTTAGTTTGGGGGCAAATTTACAAAATAATTAATTGTGAAGTTTCACGGTTTTTTTTTAATCTAAATAGTAAGAGAATAACTTCATCTCTGTAGTAGATTAAAAAACACACATATATATATACACAAATTAATCAAATATTCTTTTTATTAAATTCTAGCAAGTATTATGTGGCATTAAGTGTCCTAAAGTGCCAAAATTTAATCTATCTCAGAAACTCAGTCATGAAATGTGTTGTCATTAAATAATGTTGTAGAGTTATTTTTGTTCTATAAAATGAAAAGCAAAACTGGATAAAGTAAAAACACCTTCTAAACCGTTGTTCTAGTTATTCAGCAGTTTCAAGGAAAATTGTCTTGATGTCTAAATCATTTGAAGTGTCCTTAAATGTCCGTGTACTCCTACTCTATCTTACAAAAGTTCCATCTTCATGTTCCAAGAATTAAATAAATGTGTCAGAACAATGGATAGCACACAAGCAAAAAGCAAACATAAAATATCTATGTTTATTGGAGGTCTTGCTTACCTGTATTTATTTAATTTTGTAATCCTCTCGAACTTGTTTCTTCAGAATGGCAACACAAGCAAAATCCTTTGACTCTTTTCCTAAACTCTTACTAAATGTATGCCACTCAAGTTTATGAATCCTAAGCAGAAAATGCACTGAGACAGTTGAAAGATTAGATGAAAAAGGGGGTAAAATATATTAGAGGAAATATAAAGCTGTCTTTGTTTTTTTGTTTTAACATCTCAGCCTAGAAGTTATTGACTATAATTAGCTGGGAAATCTGAGATTATATATATGTCTGCCTTTTAATGAGGATTGATGTTAGGTGTGAGTCTGACTGGTTACTTCATGTATATTACATGGAATGTTCTAGACTTTTTAAACAAATGCTGCAAGCTGAGTGGTAGTATCCTCATTTTTGAAATGAAGAAACTAAGACTGAGAGAGTAATCCAAAGCAGCCACAGCTCTTAAGAGGCAAAGTTGACATTTGTTTCCAGAGCCAACAGATTATAATAAACTCAAGCTCTTCCTAATACACTGGATTTACTTGAATAGATCTCTTCTTCTCATTTTTCCTTTAGGGAAGAGCCTAGATTCCAGGTCCCTTTTCAGTTACTGACGTCTCTTATGGACATAGACACACTCATGACCAAATGGAGATGTAAGGCCTCCCCTTGACCCTCAGACTCCTTCTCCCCTATCCCGTCCCTTTACCCACCATTTCTTCTTCTGTCTGCCCTCCTTCCCTCTCTCTCTTTTCTTCTCTCCTTCGTATGTGAGAAGATTGTTTTTTCTTTTTTTAAATCAGCTTGACAGTTATTCTCTCCCTGGGCCAACTTGCCCAGAATACGCAGCAGGCACAATGCCTAGGGCCTGCAGTAGCTTTGGGGGCCCATGAAAACGTTCTATTTGATAATCAGAAGGAAAAAAATGAACTTTAGGGCAAAGAAAATGTTTTAATATATAATAATTACTCATCTTTATGCCAATACAACTTTAAAATATAATTTTGATAGTTGTTTTTTTTAAATAGAGGAAGGAAACTGTAAAGACAAAAGTGGTGAGGGCTCATGAAGGTCATAACACGGCCCTGCTCTCCCATATTGTGTTGGCAGGCTAAATGTAATGATGGTTGGAGTCAAATGCATGTAGCCTGAATGAAGTTGGGTGCCAACTGGGGTGCCAGGCAACCTACTGGTCTCATCTGGCTCCCAAACGTGAAACTTCCATATGGCTAAGTGATAAGGTGTGAGCCTTTTCTCAGAAGCAATTATCATTACCAATCTCTTATATTTAGAACATCGTGTAACTAATGGGAGAAATATATCCATGGAGTTAATTTGTGTGTTTGCCTAGATAACCACGTGTGCATGGTGCACAGAATGCTGGGCAGCAAAGCTGGCACTGGTGGGTCCTCTGGCTATCAGTACCTGCGCTCAACAGTGAGGTAAGATGGGAGAGATTCACCTTTTTATCTTGGTGGAAGTCACGAATGCTTTGTTTCTCTATATATATATATGTGTGTATTATCTAGAAAAAGTCATTTATACTTGCTCCTGTCTGAACTGCTGACAACACATTTGTAGATAGATTAAGGTATTCCTGTTAGAACCTTTGGAGGACACTGTAAAAAATCCTTAGTTCTGAAAGTTCATCATTTTGATCCTGGGATGAAAAGGGGCAGAGTACGAATGGCTGCGTGACCTGTGAGGATATGAAGGAGTTAATCCAGGTAGAAATGTTCTCAACTCATCGGGCTCAAGTTTGGACTAGACTAAAACAGTTATCACTAATTCCACTAATGTAACTGACACACCTAAAAAAGTGTCTTGTTTCCTGATATGACTCTATTTTATAGTATAAAAACTGTTTCCATCTACTCCAAAAAGTGCCATTTTCATATTGTTTACAAGGAAAAAGGTCAACATTTATTGAGCATTTAAAATGATAGATTTCTACACGTACCCTTATTTTATTTAATATTCACAACATTGTAGATACATGGATATATAAACAGATAAACCTGAAAACTGGGAAACTTACAAGGCCCCTGCGGCAGGAGAATAAGCACAGGAATAAATTAGGCATTCACATTCAGTCTCCAGAACTCTTTACAGCACATTGTTTTCCTCACTACTCTTACTACCAGACTAAGTTATAAAATGCACCAAGTTCTGTTTTTCATCATTTTTACAAACTTTCACTTTCCCTGGGAATAAACTCTAAACTGAATGATTTATAAAATTTATTGATTCAAATTTTCACAATTGTTACATATTTCCTCTTTCCCTGGGAGCAAATCCTATAGGCATGAAATGATTGGGTGTACAAAACGAACACACACATCAGTGGGTGGTGGGAATAATGAACACAAACAGCATTTCTAGTGTGTCACTGTCTCATTAAGTCTTCACAAAGCCCTGGCCAGAGGAAGAGATTGTAGTTTTTATTTTACAGAGTTAAAAACCAAGACGTTGAGGTTTAGAGAACTTGTCCAAGGTCACATGATGTGCAAGTGACAAACAAAATTTGAACCAAAATTTGACTTCAAAGGCAAACACTCTTCTGTTATAAGACTGAAAACAGTTAAAATAGTTGACTAACAAAAAAGGAATTTTAAATGTCAAAATCCCTCCTATAGACATTTATTATGAATCTAAAATGGCATTTCAATTTATTAATCCATTCACGGTAGTTACTTAGCAGCTACTCTGCAGGTGGGAAATATATTTAAATGAACAACTAAGAACTCTGTATGCTTTAAATTTATCATTTTGCATACTGTCCTTTAAAAGTCAGAAACAAGAACACACCCTTATTGGGGCAGCCTGGTGGTGCAGCGGTTAAGTTCCTGCACTCTGCTGCAGTGACCTGGGGTTCGCTGCTTCGGATCCTGGGTGCAGACCCACACACCACTTATCAAGCCATGCTGTGGCAGTGTCCCACATATAAAGTAGAGGAATATGGGCATGGATGTTAGCTCAGGGCTAATCTTCCTCAAAAACAAACAAAAACATACCCTTATCTTTAAGAAGATAGCATGACAATAGTAAAACTCTAGATTTTAATCTGAACAAGACTGGTCAAGATCAATGAAACACATAATACTGCTTTACGGGCATGAATTCAGATATGGAATAAAAATTAGGCAATCAATTCTAATACTATTTAACATATATGATACACACAACATGTAATATATAATAAAATATAATATTGAATACTAATTATGGCAAAATATTTTCTGAGAAATGAAATTTTTTGATGGAAAATTTTAAATATTTCATGTCAATAAATCTAAAACATCTGTATATATGTGTTTTTCCAGTGACAGGTACAAGGTATTTGTAGATTTATTTAATCTTTCAACATATCTGGTTCCTCGACACTGGATACCGAAGATGAACCCGATTATTCATAAATTCCTTTACACGGCTGAATATTGTGACAGCTCTTACTTCAGCAGTGATGAGTCAGATTAAAATCATCTGCAAAAATCTTTGAAGAACAGCGATGTATCAGTCTGTTTTTAAAAATTTTCTATGAATTATCATGAATACACAACAAGTCTTATTGTAAGATACGTATATACATAGTTAAGCACTGTGGCAGTCTGATTCAAGCTTGGAAACAATTTTATTCCTTCATTTTTGTGATGATATAAGAGTAAGCACTAAAATAAGAAATTAAGTCCATTAAATTGGAACATCGTACATAGGATGTTTTCCTATTAAGAACCTAATGTTCCCTGATACTTACCTTAATGTAACCATTTAACAGATCATCTCATTGTTTAATCCGTTATAAGCTGTAAACTTCTGCTATTTCAAATATTTTATGCAATAAAATGTATCATTCTATACAAAAACTAGATGAATCAAAATTCTTTTAAAATAATAAAAATTAGTCTTTTTGCATATATTGTTTAGGAAACATCACTTGTATTTGTGAGGATGCTTGATGACCAATGACAGAAGTCTATCTGAAGCTTTTCCCACAGGGGATTTACTAGACAATTACCCCACCAGCTTGAAGAATTGAAGGGCATCTGAGGAGCTCTGAGGCCAACGGGATAGATCTAGTTCCTGGAGTACTAGATTCCTGCACACTTTGAGGACTCTCCGTCTCATCTCTTCTTTTCTGTGGGTGTTGGCTTTATTTTTCCCTGTTGTAGATCAGCTCGTTCCTCAGGCTGGGTCCCAGCTTCCAGCACCTCTGGACTCCCAGAAGGACAAAGGTGCTCTTCCCAGCTCCACAGCTTGTGGTCTGGAAGGTAGAGTCAACTCTAATACACAACAGGACTGAGGCAGGAATGAGCAGTAGCCCCCTCAAGTGAAGAAGAGTGTTCTTTCCGGAAGAAAGGAGAAGTAAACAAACTCGGCAATGACCCAGTTTCTAATGAAAAAATATTTAGCTAAGAGCTTAGATCAGACATGAGTTTCATTCTTCTTTTTCTAGCTTATCCTGGATATTAATACTTAGTTAAATTTCTGTTATGAGGAGAGTAGAAATTATCATCAAAAGATCTAAAATGTACATCAACCTTGACCTGGAGTGATTACAGCAAGCAGCAAGTTCTTGATGGAACTGAACTATACTTTGGTCTTGGTTGCAAAATTTTTTTTTAAAGATTGGCCCTGAGCTAACATCTGTTGCCAATCTTCTTTTTTTTTTTCTTCTCCCCAAAGACCCCCAGTACATAGTTGTATATTCTAATTGTATGTTCTTCTAGTTGTGCTATGTGGGACGCCACCGCAGCACAGCTTAATAAGCAGTGCTAGGTCCGCGCCCAGGATCCAAACCAGTGAAACCCTGGGCTACCAAAGCGGTACGCGCAAACAACCACTTGGCCACTCAGCCGGCCCCTCAACTGCAAGTTTCTTCTGATAAGGTAGCATAATGGCTAAGGGGACTAGCTTTGAAATCAGCAAACTTGGGAGAAAATCGTGGCTTTGCCATTTATTAACCATTTACTTTGGTACAAACACCAGTTTAAACCCAGTTTCCTATCTACATAACGGGGATAAAAATACTTATCTTATAATCTTTGCTTTTTCTCATGAAGTAATAAAAAAATATGTTAATAGATGTTCTGTCACCAACATGCCTTGGAATCTTGAAGTAAATGCTATTTGTCAAGGTTTATTCTTTTAATAGACTAAAAGGTTGGATTTAGTTCTTTTTATCCATATTTCTTGGTGTGACCAAGCTATACAATTTTAAGAGCTTTCTTCAAAGGATATATCAGTCATTCTTAATGTAAATGTCAAAACAACTTACAACGCTAGCTTCTCCCCTTGCCCCTCTTCAAACTCGCTTCTAGCGCTGATGATCCACTTTAAATTATAATTTTTAAGTGGGTCACAAAGTCACTGTAAGTTTGTCTAATTTAGTATCCACTTTGAGAGCCTCGTGAAATCATGCCCAGGAACATCTGGATGATTTTCATTATGACTCCTAATTATTATGTGCAGATTTCACTGCTTTCCTCTTAGCTTCGCTGGGTGAGCTTCAAGTAGTTTGCTATGGCTGGAGCACAGCATATGCCTGTGCAGAAGAGCAGCTATTGAGGCTGAGACGGGAGAAAGGGGCTTCTTCTAAGAGTTGGCAGGTTATCTCTTAGGCATTGGGGAGGCCCTAAATGGTTTAAAATGGGGGAATAGCATAACCAGAGGCACTCACAACTAGAATATACAACTATATACAGGGGGGCTTTGGGGTGAAGAAGAAGAAGAAGAAAAAGAAGATTGGCAACAGCTGTTAGCTCAGGTGCCAATCTTAGAAAAAAAAAAAAAAACAAGAAAAATCCAAAACAAACAGATAAAAAAATGGGAGAATAACATGATAATGTTGTCTTCTAGAAATGTAAATCCAGGGGATGTATAGTAGATAGATTATAATATAATCATTTGAATCACCTGGAGTGCTTATTAAATCATAGTGTTGCACAAGTCGCCAGGTGGCTTCTAGTTTGGGGACTATACTTTGAGAACTCCTGGATTAAGAGACATAGGTTTAGTGGGTAGACTACTCAACAGTGGGGATAAGAGATGCAAAAGAACATGCATCTAGGAAGGAACAGTAGAAATGGCGAGGAGGAAGGTGATTAAGTGATGGATTACTGGGGTATAGCTGACCTGATTAAATATCTAACATTTCCCTCAATTCTATTGATTGTATAATGTTGATTATACAATTTACAGATTATATAATGTTGATGCTGTTAACCAAATAGAGACTCTAGGAGGTGCAGAAGCTTTTTTGTTTCTTTAGAAGGAGGAGAAAGGAGGATGATGAACGGGGTTTTGGAGACAGTGAGGCTAAGCTGTCCAAGAAGAAAGCCAAAAACTAGTTATACGGATTTGGAGATGAGGAAACTCTGTGTGAATGTAAAGCACACTGACACTGTTGACAAAACGTAAGCCATACATTTATGGACAGATTTTTCTTAATCCAAAGTTAAATATAGGTTGTTTTATTATAAATGTCATCAAAATCCAGAAGAGCCGAGAGGTATTTATCACTTTGATTTGCAAGAATTCTTTAGCATTTAAAAAAGAGTACCATAAAACCATTTATGTCTTATAGAAATCAGGAAATGAACACAAACTACAACAACGAGGACAAAGCTCCTTTTTGACATACTTGGATAATTAGAATATTGATCGACTAAAACATCAATATTGTCTTCCTGGAAGACTTCTAAACCTGAGTCAACACACATTCTTTTGAGATTGCTTCTGGTTGGTGTGAGAAAAATAAATACAGTTTTGTTTTTTTTTTATTTTCTTCTTCTAATAAAACGGATAGATAAATAAAGGCCAACAGTGAGAGGAAAAATGGGATGTCCTCAATTTTTTTTAGTGGTTGCTGCTACATTTAAAATTTTGTTTTTGTTAAGATATTCCACATTAGAAAGCAACCCTAAATTTTAGAGAAGAAATATTAATATATGTAGTATTTGATATGATTTTCTTATATGAACTCATTTAATATGGCTGTATTTGTCTTCAAACAGAAGATCAGCTCTTATGCTCTGAGGTTCTCACATTACCACACATCATGATTTATGCAAGAGAGAACACAAGCATTAAGAACTAGAAACCAGGTGAAAGCCAAAGGGATGCACAAAAAGTAGTTAGGATGGGAGTCTAGGAAAAATAAGCAGAAGATTGGGAAAACAGAGAGACTGGGGAACTTGCATTTTGGCTGATACTCCAGATTAATGAGATTGGACTTTGAAAGGGGCGGTGCCTATGAATGATGGGAGGAAGAGAAAGGTGAGATCCTGATGTCGATAAAGGCTTAGAGACCAATGGAGCCATAATAAATGGTTATAAAATAGAAAAGGAAAATAGACAATGAGACAATTCGTTAGCCCGAGAAGCCAACTGCCAGGAAACCTTCGGAGTTTCACAGAAAAGAGTATGAGAAAGAGTGTGAAAATGTGGGAAAACACATTGTTCTCCAATGGAGGGAAGACAAAATAAGAAACAAAATCTACTGGAGTCCTATTGACAATGACAAAGTCCAAATAACAATTTGTCTCTCAGGCAACACTACGCGAGTTTTTCTTATCACATAGCTGCCATATTGGTCATTTAATTTCAATCGCATTAACTGTTTCTCTTAAAAAGTGATTCTGTCCTTTTGTTTCTTTCTACATGATCACTCTACAGTTCAAGAAGTAACCACCGTTTGTTGAGGTAAAGCAGTTTGTATTTCAAAATCCTTACGATATGCCATCTCAGAGGGTTGCTGATAGAATTGTGAGAGGCGCAGATAATTTTAGGTTGGCTATTCTTGCATAAAGGAGTAAGCTAAGGCTGGTGATTATATCCTAGAAAGGAAAAGAATTTCTTATCACCCCTTTAACCCTACCAGAAGTACGTCATTAAAAATAAACAAATGGGGGCCAGCCGGGTGGCGCAGCAGTTAAGTTCACACGTTCCACTTTGGTGGCTCGGGGTTCGCTGGTTTGGATCCCAGGTGTGAACATGGCACGGCTTGTCAAGCCATGCTGTGGTAGGCATCCCACATACAAAGCAGAGGAAGATGGGCATGGATGTTAGCTCGGGGCCAGTCTTCCTCAGCAAAAAGAGGAGGATTGGCAGCAGATGTTAGCTCAGGGCTAATCTTACTCAAAAAAGAAAAAAAAATTAAATTTAAAAAAAAGGGGAAAAAAACAAAAACAACAATCAGACAAAACCAGATAATAGCCTCTTCAAATTGAAGAAACCTAAAATATCTCCTAATCTGACCTTCATCTCAGAGTAGGAAACTTCCAAAGATTTCCTCCCAGGCCAGGTGCTGGTGTTCTTCCTACTGACTTTGGTTGTCTCTCTCTCCAGAAGAAGGGATAATTTTACAACGTAGTTTAAATACTACTAGGCAGCAGAACCTTTTGTGGGTGGTTGCTGAAGCCTAAAGGTAAATGATGGTAAAAAGGAAGGACCACACTACATTTCATGATGAACCTGCATTTTTGTAGTGGTCTCTTGATCTTCCCAACATATCACACAAATACAGCAGAAACGGAATCTGCAATACCTAAGAAAAAAATAAATTATTAATACTAGTCTATTTCCTTTTTATATGCCTTTCAAATAGCAAATTAAAATAATTTTCATTTGGATTCAGAAAGGGTTAATGTCTATTAAGAAAAGAATTTAATGGTTGTAGCTATCTATCAGTATAAACATGGCAACCTCATAGATATTAGAAAAGATGACTAATATTTTTGTTTCAAGAAACTACAAAAAATCCCAAAACCACTTATTAACTGAATGGATGAATGTATCTGAAATCTTTATTGCACTCATATCTATTGCTTTGTTGCTGTTAGTGCATTCGAGTCAATTCCAAATCCTACAAAAGAGCGGAACCCTGCCCGGTCTTTTTGCACCATCCTCTCACCTTCTGGCGCTCTATCAGACAATACTCCACTGCTATTCATAGGGTTTTCATGGCCAAATTTTTTGGGAAGTGGGTGGCCAGGTCCTTTTTTCTAGTCTGTCTTAGTCTGGAAGCCCTGCTGAAACCAGTCCACCATGGATGACCCTGCTGGTATTTGAAATAACTGGTGGCATAGCTTTCAGCATCATAGCAACACAGAGCTGCCAGAGTATGACAACTGATAGACGTGTGGTGTGGTTCCCTGACTTGGAAATGAACCTGCACCACGGTGGTGAGGGTACCAAGTTTAACAGCTTGACTGCCATATATTGCTTAGAGGCAATAAAATAATTTATGATTATTTTAAATGCAATTTAGAAATGCAGACTCTAAGATTTGAACTTTAACAAAATTTCAATAAATCACAGTGTGCTATGCTTTCTTCGCAAACAAAAACACAAATCTAATACATGGTGAAAGCAATAAGTGGTCCATTTGAAGACTGGATTTCATTGTAATTAGCTATGTCTTTGAAATCTCTTGGGGCTATGGAATGCTATGTGCCTAATACCATTGTTCATAAGAATGAAGTTCTCATCATCAGGTTATGTAACTTTCAGGAATATTCACTTTAGGAAGGATTTGGATCTCCATTTAATTACTAACCAGGCAGACTCCTGGAGAATCAAACTGGGAAACAGGTAGAGAGGAGAAATTATTCCAACTCACCCCTGGTAGTTGGGGGCTGGGGGAAGGTGGTGGTGGGGATACAGAGTCATTACTGAGGCAGTTTTGAGTGAATGTCTGAATAGGTTCTTGCACTCTCCTGGCAGAGCTTTGAAAACAGCCAGCCATCAGCCCAGATCCAGGCACCACCACTTCAACAGAGAGAATTGTGTTTAGTAGCAGAGGCAGAGCGAATGCCAGCAGTAATTTATCTACAGGTTCCAACAATGTAAATGATCCCAAAGATGTGAAAAGGAGGGGCCTGATCGGGATGCTGATGCTCTGGGTGAAAGATTTCCATGATGTTCACTCTCTTCAATAAAAAATTTATGAAAAATATTTTATAAATATTTTTTAATGACAGAACAGGCCATTTATGAACTCTCATGGATCTACTTGATGGAACAACTGGACAGTGGTCTTGAATAAATCAAAACATAAATGTTCCAACTTATCTGTAAGTCTTATATCAGTCTCACAATCTAGAGGGTTCAACAATTTTTAAAAAGTTGTATATATATTTGAAATAATTGTAATGAGAAATTGAAAGGTTGCTCTCATATGCAACATAGTTTGAGTCTAATTTGATTCAGAAAATATGTTGATATTCTAGATCAAAAGTTTCAGAATATAGATTTGAGTTTAGGTTTTAGAATACTCAGCTATTTTAATTTGGTTTATGGTTAATTAACAAAAAAAAATTGTTATTCAATAAAAGAGCCTGGTTGGTATTTGCTTAAGCTTCTCAATTCCAGAGAATGTGTTGCTAGAAGTTTGTAGGTGATTTGGAGCACATTAAAGCAGAAACAATCCTAATGCTCAGATTTGCATACATTTTGATACAACGAGAAAGTGATTCTCGATAATCCTTGAGCAGGTACTATAGGACACAAATTAAGGGAAATTCATACAATCATAAAAAGTAAATTTGGAACTAGGAGATGTTTTTGGGGAATTTCAGCCTCCTGAGCTGAGCACTTACCTGGTTACTGAAGTAATTAACTTTGGTAAATTATTACTTTATCTTATAATGTTTTGTCGATTATATAGTTTTTTATCTTGTCCTTCTTCCTTTTTAAAATGTGAATATATACAATATTGTCTCTTTTAAAACACTATTTTATTTTTATTGCTTGGTTAAAGGATGAAAATTGTTGCTGTAAAAGTGATTTGAGTACATTGGAAGCATATTACTGACTGAATAGATTTATAATTTTAATATATTCAAAGTATCTGCTTTGACCTTTAGCCTGGAGTTTGAAACATAAATTTCTGACTCACCACAAATATTACCTCCCATTTTAACATGGGCATAGCCATCTACTCCCCAGGAACTTCCCCACGAGTTCCGCACAATCCAATATGGAGTACTTCCTGCAAAACATGAGATGGTAAACAACCCTGAAAGTCTCCAATTTGTTGTGAATGCATGTTTATTTAGAGTTTAGGTCCTGGTAAGTATAGTACCTCAGAGAAACAGATTAAAAATGCAATATAATGCTAATTTAAACTAGTGAAGTAAATTTGAGCTTTACATAGTGTCACACTCCAATTACGGGGAAAATATATGGTTGAATTCATTTGACTTAATATGGGGACTGCATAAAATGAAAACACATGCACATTTTCACAGAATTAGGAAAAGGAAAAAAATAATTGTTAGATATGTATGATTAAATAATAAGCACTTTTCCCAACAATTATCCTAAACAGTCCAGAGGGACAATACACATTATTTAAATCAAGAATTATTATCATTTTAACAAGGTATCTACCAAAATTGGTAGGGAGAACACGACAGGGCATTTATACATGGAAGTCTACTAGCAAGTTGTAAAGGTCTTAGGAAGACTTAGAGCAGGACCAAATGTCAGCATTTTAAAAGATGGCGATCATTTGTCAGTCAGAGTCCAAGCTGGAAAGTAATCAATCAAGTCTTATTAGCACTTACCTGTTCTATCAAACCCAGTTATGAGGACTGCATGATTCGCTTCTCCACTAGAGCAATGATGCTGTATTACGCCTCCCAGATAATCTTGCCAGCTCACCGCATCTACTACCACTACTAAAGGGCCAAAAGTAAGAAGTGCCTTTGCCATTTGGTCTTCTTGGTCACTACCAAAAGAGGAAATATTTGGTTAAGGAGTTTAGTTTTTAAGGTGAAAATATTTTATAAAAACGATCTATTTAATCTGTATATGGTTAGGAGTAGATTTGGTTGCAAGTTCAGAAGACTTAACTGATGGAGGCTAACAGAAGTCTGAGAGAATGGCAGTGCAGGACTGCTATGGGGATCCAGGATCTCAAGAACCCAGGATCTTTCTATATTATTGTTCTGCCATGTGAGGTTTCCATTCCCAAGGTCAATTAATGGTCCAACATGGCTGCTGGAGTTCCAGCCATTTAACACATATTTCAGACAGCAGGAAGTAGAAAGGAGAAATGCTATAGTCCTGTTGAGAAGACTTCCCGGAAGTAACCCATACATTCTGCATGGATCTCATTGGCTAGAACTCAGTCATATGGCTGAGTCTAGCTTCAAGGAGAGAGGAAATGGAGTTTTGTAGCTGACTGGCAAAGTATCCAGTTATAATATAAGGATTCTTTTAATAAGAAAAGTGGGAAGACTGGATGCTAGGAGGTATCTCTGCCACATCATGTGAGAATCAAGAGACTGGCCAACTTATGTTAGTGAATGTTGAATACAGAATTTACATTTGGGAAGGGTTACCCCAAAGTGGCAAATATAATTATATGATGGAAGAAATGTTAAGATGCCAGGAGAACTAGTACTATATTGTGAAGACTGCAAAAGATACAGTTATTGTTGTCACACACGGACATCTACTGATAAAATCTTATGATACATAACATTTGGCCTTCATCGATCTTAGAAGTATGTGATTAAGGCATTATTTACATTTCTAAAGGTCAAATTTGTGGATAAAGGACACTGAAACCAAGTTACTGATATTTCAGACCATTAAAATAGCCTTTGGTAGTTTATTGCGGCAACAAGGCATGCGTGGAGCAGGAATGCGAAGGAGTCAATAAGCCCTCATCACGCCCGGCTGGAGAGCAGGTTCCGTCAAGGGGATATTTTGTCCACAGATATGGAAAAAAATTTAGTGCATAACAGTGCCATTTATTGAAATAGAAACTATACATATATTCTAAACATTTATTCATGTTACCTGTTAACGTGAAGCTCTGTTTTGTGTAGATCTATAAGCAGTCACTTTTAATTTTTGATACTTTAATAATAATTGGTATTCACTGAGACAGGCAAAATTAGAAAATTCTTAAAAGGCATCATGGTAGGCTAACAGGCTTTGAAGTTCCGCATACCTGGGTTCAAATTTCAGCCGTACAGCAGAGTCATTGCATCTACTTTGCAGAATCAGTATAAGGATAAATTATACGTACAAATTTTGTAGTATACCTCACGCATAAATCATACTCTAGGTTTATAATAAAAAATTGTTTCCTTCCCTCTTTTCTAAGTTATCTAATAAACTAATTTTGTTCAGCATAGGTTTTAGTGTGCAATGCATATTTTATTGTATTCAAATTTTTTTTAATATTTTATAATCCAAATATGACAAATATGATCATCTCTGTATTATCCAGAACACAGCTGTCGCCACCTTTTTAAGATAACAAGAGATAGATTGTAAATACATGACATCAAAGATCCAGTGACAGGAACAGCATGAAGGAAAGAGAAAGATCAAGACAGAGAAATATTTTTTAGAATGTAAAGGGTAATTCACATTGTAAGATCAAGGAAAAAATTTAGTAGTAATCCCGGCTTTGAGGCAGGGCTAAAGAAAAGATATCAAAGATATTGGAAAATATGAAATAGGACATAGTCAGGACCAGCAGGCAAATGTTCCACGTAGCCCCAGAACTGACAAGCATTGTTTTCACTTGTCTTTCAGAAAAGTACTGGCTTTTAGCAAGTTAAAACATACTCCAAACAGCATCTTTATTTCCATTATTAACCCAATACAGAACTACTATCAAAATGTACCTTGATAATGGATATATTGTCAATCAAATATTGTCCCATGAGCTTAATACTCATTTCACAGATCAGCAAGATACAAATTCTACAGTGTTTAAAAAATTCTCTTAAATTTTACTGTCATCAAGATTTGGGGATTAAGGCATGTCTTATCTGTTAGAGGTCCTTGACAAGCATGTAGATTTCCATCTCACTGTCCCTAGAAGTCAGTGTGCTATATTGTGTCCTAGTTTTTCTGTCTATTGTTCTATGAGGTAGGTTCCCTCCCAGTTTGCTTATTTAAATAGTCATTCTCATATTTTATCCTGAGTTCTGAAATGTCTTTTCTGGGTCTAATGAGCAAAAATGCATGAAGACGCCTGGATATGAATGGTCATTTTGCTATAAGACTATATTACGTTTTTATGATTCAGTGGGTTTTTTGTTTTGTTTTGTTTTTTAAGATATTTTCAGGTTCTGCACAAGATTTATGGAGTTTTTGGCTGGTCGTTGTACCCTGGGCTGATGTTGTCTGAGAATACTAAAAACCTAAGAGCTCATGACCTTAAAAATAGAGGTAGGGAAAAAAGTATGAGCTTCAAGTCGGAAAGAGACAGTTCTAATCTGGCCCTATGATTTACTAGCTGGGTGACCCTCCCTGAGTCTCAGGCACCTTGGAGGGAAGTGGTGATATTTAAGCGCCAGGGGCCTGGTCCAGTGCCTGGTTATCGCAGATGCTGTCAAAGGCCTTCCCACATCCCACCGCAGTGCAATCGGCCAAAAAGGAGCTTCCAACAAGGAGACCCTGCAGCTCTTTGCCTGAGCCCCGCTCTCCTAAAGAGGCAGAAATCAAGCCTGCCCCACCTAGACCCCAGCTGCACCCTCCACTAATGAATCATGGGAGGTGGGAGCCTCAGCTTGGGTGGGTTCACTCCGAAATGCTCAGTTGACCTTGGCCCCAGAGTTCCCCAGTAGGACTAAGTGCCACGTTACCCTCTGTACTCAACTGCTTAATAAGAAACCTGCTTTCTCTTTTCTGTCTCATTCCCCCATTCCCCTGCCAGCGTTTCCCGGGATCACTTCCTACATGTCACAAATGAACTTGATATTCTCCCCCAAATCTGTTCCTGTCTTAGATTTCACGTCTCAATTAGCAGTAATCCCATTCTTTCAGTTATAAGACTGAAAAGCCTGGAGTCATCTTCAACTCTCTTTTCTCTTATCTTCTATATAAAATCCCTCAATATTCCCTGTGGGGCTTTATTCTCTGTGAGTGGTATTAACTATTATCTCTCACTTCTAAGACCTTTCTTCTAACACTCTGCTCTAAGGTTATTACCTGATCAACCTTTATCACCTCATCTCTTACTAGTCTTGTCCTTCTTCTCTCCACTAGTCATATTGGCTTCCTTACTGTTCTTTAAATATGCCAGGCACACTTCTGCCTCAAGGCCTTTGCACTGATAGTTCCTTCTGCTTGGAACAGTAGTTCCCCAAATCTCTGCATGGTTAAGTTCCCACACTTCTTCACATCTTTAGTCAGATGTCTTTTCATGGAGCCCCTCTGTAGCCACCCTTTCTAAGATGTATGCTCCCCTCTCCTCCCTCTGATGTTGCCTCTTCCTTTCACTGTGTTATTCTGTTCTCTTTAGAAGCTGTTACATCTAACATACCAGGCATATTTTTATTTGTCTTGCTCATTGCTTGTCTCTATCATTAAAATATAATCCTGAGGGTAGGGTTTTTGTCTGTTTTTTTTTTTTTTGCTGCACAGTTAGTTTAGCACTGCATCCTCAGAGAGTTTAATAACGTGGAGATTTTTATGGGGATCTCTTCTTTTTTAATCCGAGTTGGATAAATCCTGTTTGAGGCCCAATGCCAATGATCTTTGCATATTCTCTCTCTCACGCTCAGTTTCTCTCTAATTCAGACTAATGCCAATTATTCTTTGGTTCATTCTTAGCTTTTTCAATTTGCTACTCATGACACAGGATTCCTGATCCTTTTTAAAGACATTTTGAAAATCTAATTCCTTCGTGCACACAGGCTTCACTTACATTCTCAAGGCACTGATAGCTTATAGCGGCACACTTTCTCATTTTAGAAAGTGTGGTACCTTTACCCTCAAAGGAGATGCTGACCCATGTACTCAGCGACCCTGCACATTTTATTATAGAATCTATGATCCTGCCAACTGTGGACCTAAGGCTCTCTGGTGTATGCTTCCTAGGGTCGCCCTGAGAGTCCTTGCTACAGACAGGAGCCATGTTGACAATCTGCCAGTCCCTTGACACACTTATGCTTATTTAGAGGGGTTCCATTTTGTTCAAGGATCCAATTTCACCCATGATTTCCCTCAGATCCCTTGGGTAGACACCATCTGGACCAAGAGATTTTTTTCAGTACCAGCAAGTTATAGGGCTGTCTGTCACATTATTTGAATTTAATTTCTCTCTGTTCTCTGTTTCCAAAGACTGTGCAAAGCTCTATTCATATTTAAAAAAAAAAATGAAGCCAGGAGTTGGTTGAATCTTCCTCTGTCCTTATCACCCCTGAACACCTATTTTGCACAACGTCAAGTGGTCGCGATGGTTCTCTAGCCAGCTTTGAGTTTTTCATGTGATTTTAAGGCATTTTTTAATGACTGTTTTCCCCTGAACTTGTCCAAAGTCATCTTGCCCTTCAAGTTCCAACACAAGTGCTCTTCCTCAGCCCATCTTCATCTGTCCCTGCTCTCCCCTCCTGCCACATCATCCATCTCCAGGAACACACTCTTGCCTACTTGTTTCTAATGGGAAAGTTGCAGTTTATGCTTTTCTTATAGCCGATGCCTTGAAAATGCAAGGAACATAGCAGGTGTTCCAAAACTGCTTCTTGGTAAGTAGACTGCTTCATATTAGCTGGTGAGTCTATACAAAGCAATTTTTGATTGACTCAGGAGTAAGATTGAAATATGCTAATAGTATTTATAACACCTAAATTTGGTAAGAGGAAGGTGGTAATATACATCAAACCTTAAACTGGATTTAACTGCATTAATTTGTTCTTTCTATTGGAATGACACATGGAAAAATAAATAGATCATATCTGAGAAACAACATCCATAGCACTCCATGGTGCCTGCCACTTAGCCTCTCTTGTAAAAAGTAGGTTTTCAAACAATTAAGAGTATGCTGTGATGTCTTCAATCAAGTTATTAATTCCCAATAGTCAATAGATCATAAGTTAAGAAATATAGAGAAAAACACAATAGAATGAAACATTTACCTGAAGTCATATGCAGAAAAACCTTTGATTGAAAATCCAGAATGTGAATCAGAAAAGTAATGGCACAGGCCACTCTGTGCTTTAAATGGGTATTCTGAGTCTCTCACCAGTTTTACTTGCGTCTAAAAGAAAATAATCGCCCAAAAGTTGTCTGTCAAGCAGTTGTTTTAAAAATCAAGTAGAACGGACCATAATGTGTCAAAATAAGATTTTACTTGGCCACACCTTCATCTTGTGGATATTCTTTGGGTTATGAAGGTCTCAAATTAAATCTTTAGGTGTTCATCATGGACATCCTAGGGAATTAAACTCAGAATCTTTCTTTCTCTTTTATTCCTGTTTCTCCTATATCTTCCTTCCCTAGAATCTCTATCGACTTTATAATAAAGTTTTGTCATCTTTCTCCTGCAAGTATAATAGGGCAACTCACTTTCCTTCCAGAGCTTCTGGTTCTGTTAGTAAATCTCTGAGACTCCCTTAGCCCAGTGGTTTATGTACCAGCAATGGGTAGGCCCAGCATTCTTCTATCCACTTCTCTCTGTGCCATTCATCTGGCATATATGGCACATGTTTTATGATTTTCTATACAGAATCCCCCCTCCCTGAATTCTGAGCTTACGGAAGCCAGGGGACACACAACGTATGGTTGCACACGATGTGATAGAGGGGGTGTGGCACTCAGTGGCTCAAAATATAGCAAATGAACAAGGGGAGGATATTCACGTTTGGGAAACTCTAGCTTGACATTCTACAAAACGTAATAGCACCTCGTTGGATGATTTCATGCAATTGATACTGGATCTAGGACAATGTCGGAGAGAGTCCTAAGAGCACTGAGGGACACTGGTAAATTGGATAAGGGCCTCCAGTGGGAGACAGAGGACTTAAGTGCAGTCCTGGCTCAGTTACTGATGTGGGAACATGACCTCACCTCTCAGATATCATTTCTTCATCTACATGAAGAATTACTAAACAGTTGATCTCAAATGTCCCTTTTAATCTAAAATATTCAGAATTCTATGGAAATAAATAATCATCTTTCTGGGTTATTGTGTGACACATACTTGCGAAAAAAGAGCATTTACCTATTAAGAAATGTTAAGAAATAAACATAAATATTTTTCTGAAAACAAATCCCAGGTAATATTATTCACATATTGATTTCTCGATGGTTGACTTGCCTGAACAATCATTTGTAAATTTTCTGATTAATTCAAGCTTTGGTCATCTAAATTTCTAAACTTAGAAACAGTCCTTAGAATGTGAGAGCAAATTGTTGTAATTCTGAACACACGTTAAACAAGCAAAAGAAGAAACAAAGAGTTTAAAAGGCTGAGAAATTGGTCACCTTGTTTAACCAGTTCAAAGCATTGAGAGTAGATCCTCCACTGCAGCCGTAATTATTATATGAACAATCAATGACCTGCTGTACACTCAGGTCTTCCAAGGGCTCCCCTTTTATTGCACATACAGATTCCACTGCACCCACCACGCTGAAGGCCCAGCATCCTCCACACTGTTTAAAAATAGAAACAGAGTAGTAGTTATTATCAAATAACGTGCAAATCAAGTCTAGCAACATTTCTAAATACCACATTACCAAATCAAGTAAACTGAGCAAAATCTGGAGACCTACAAAATATAAATGCCCGTCCTATAGGTTTCCAAATTGAAGAAAGAAAAGAAAACCAAAATTCTCTTTTAACCATAAAAATATAATTATCAGTTAAGGTAAATTGGTAGTATCATGATCATAAATTAGCCAATGCAAGTTAAAAGTGAATTTTAGAGATTGGGAAAACATTTGGACCAACTGATGGTCTTTTAAAAGGCTAGTCCGTTCATTGAACATGTGATTTCTGTTTCCATGAAGTGGACCAACTCCCACCCCATTCTTCACTCCCTCTTGTTTCTCTCATGACACTCTGCTTCTACCCACCATCTCCACCGCAAAGGTGAGGGGCAGTGATGAGGTGAGGTGAGGTGAAGGTGTATGTCGTATATGTTGTACTCATTATCTGATGGACACGGGAGCTGAAGGAGTTACTTTTTAGGCCATCAAGATGCCAGCAAGGGCATATCATGGATGCACATGAAATGTCCTAAGGATAGAAACCCGTTTTAGTCATTCCTCATTCAAATACTGGCTGACCCAATCTTCTTGATGCTGAATCTATTAACTGGCTTTTATTGGACCAACTAGAACAGAAAAATAAAAGGGCTGGTCTGGGACAAAAGGGAAGACATGGAGGGAATGAAATCAAGAATCATGCACAAAGAAGAAGGATCCATGGAAAAGGCAGAGGTGAGAGTAAGATTTGAAACTGGGCAGAAGTGACTTAATCATAGGACATGTGTTGCAGAGTTGGGCAAAGAAAGGAAGGAAAACAATTGGCTGTCTTTGTGGAGTAAACTTTTGTGCAATTTTATGGCGTAGCATAGTCTTATTTATGTCTCTATCTCCAGGGCCAATGACATAGTAAAATATTCACTAATGGACTCTACTGTAGGATCTCCACCTCTTGAGAAATGTCAATACAGGTTGCTGACACCATACATACCACTAGCTTTAGTTTGCCTACCTGTAGCTGTCCCAGGATGGCAGTTCCTGCTCAAAAATACCTCTCCAGTATATTCCTTTAATCAAAGATTCCTAACTAAATGTTTCCCATTTATACAATGTAGATACTTTCCGGAAGGATTGGGTTTCTGACTAATTCACACTTCTTTATGAATTCACCACTAAAGCAAATGATTTGGTGGTAAAATTTCATTCACAACAATAGATATAGAATCTGAGAAGTAAAAAGGATCATTGCAACTGGATGGTGACTGAAAAACTGCTGGTCCCAAACACTTGCCGTAGAAGGGGAGGCTGAGTGACCTCTTGAGGTTTCTACTGCAGACACATTGATACTATACTCCTGAGTTTAGGGGATTGACTTTCCCTGGTCAGCTGACATTCCCTATGTCAACCAAGGGAGTGCAGAGGGGTAGAGAATGTCAGCAAAGCATGTACACACACTCCTCAAACATCTACCAGCTAGATTGCTCACTATGTATTACGAGCACACTCATTCACATCTGGTGTTACCACTTTCCTTCCGATTTCAGATAACCCTCCTTCCATCACTTCACAATAACTCACAAGCTGCAGACCTTCCACTGATCACTTTCATAGGCCCACTTCAGGTCAATTTCAAGGTAAATTGCTATATTTATTCCAGCACTTACACATTTCTTAATCATTTAACAGTGTAAACCTGTCCTGCCATTTTTAATACTTTGTTTTCTTTACTGTGTCACTAAGTTTTTGAGTGCTGTGCCCTAAGGTCATTTCTCCCATAATCCCATTCGTTTTCATTGCATAATTTTGTACAAGGTGACTTGAGGAATGTATATGTCACATTAGATCAGAACTGACTGCCTTTTCAAGGATCACAGATAAAAAGTGTATGATCCTGTAGGGTGTGGGGATGGAGGTAGGGTTTTCTGATGGAGCTCAAGGGATGATGCCGGACAACCCAAGAGATCAGGCCACACTCTGGGTAAGTATATCTGGTTTCATGTTACTTTTTCATTGTTGTTCTCCTTGAAAACTACTCAAGCACTTAGTAGTCAAGTTGACCTTCATCTGCTATTTTACAGAAGGCTTAGTAACTGTGATACAGCCACTGGGAAGCACCTCCGAGTTACTGTGCTGGTGACAATGGCATTTAGTGAGAGAACACACCAAGGAAGGTTTATCTTCAGAATAAAAGTTGGGCTTTGACATCTGCCTCTCATTTCACCCGAGATTCTCCCTTCATTGTCATTTTTGGATGATTAGGGTGTGATTTTACTCAGAGAAATGATTAAAAAGAACCCCCCAAAACCTAAAACTTACCGCCTGCTGGTTTCTCACTTGTGTTACAACATGCCGGTCCCTCCAGTCAAATCTTAATGGCAAAGACACGTTGGAGAGAGATGTTTGCACTTCTGCTGGGTATCTGGGAAATCTGGAAGGTTTGCTTCTTAAATAAATAGCTGAGTAGAAACATGAAATGAAAAGACAAGACAATCAATATTATATTACAGGAAGGGGCCCTTGGGATTCTTTTTGGAGGAACTTTCAAACAGAAACAGTAGCTTTCTAGCAGAGTCTGCCACTTGTAATTTTCCTTCATTCTTTTCCTTAACATGAAATGCATTCAGCTGAAAGCTACAAAGATAAGAATTCCTACAATAGGCCTGGGACTGCCACAGAAAATAACTTGTTTGATAGAATTAGGTCAATAATGAAAATGAGTATAATTGACATCATTTGTTTTATCATAACTCATGGAACCAGGGGTGTCTTGAATGGAAAATCACACTGGAGTACTGCAGAAGGAAGGAGGTATTGTCCCTTATAGCCACATGGAAATGTCTACAATTACAATATTTAGTTCTTCAGTAATAATTAGAAGAGAATGGCCATGAATTTATTTCTCTATCAGCACCTGGTATGTATCTGACACTTAGCATTTAATAAAGGCTAACTATTACTCAATTTACAAGATTCACAATTAAACAATTCCTCAAAAATTAAGGAAACAAATTAAAACCAGGAAACTAATAAACTAATAGGCCCATCACACCATACCTTTAAACTCTTCAGGAAACAAATAAGAAAACTGATTTATCCCATAGACAGCAGTGGAGTTTTCACTAGGAAATAAAGAATTCAAGTATCGATGTCTATTAAGACTTTCCTAAAAGAGAAAAACAAAAAGCTAATTTATATCACCTATGTTAACTTTCCAGAACAATCTGCATACAACTAACTTGGGATATTTTTGAGGTGTAAAAGTCAAAGCTTGATTATTTCCTACAGATCACAAGTGAAAGGGCCCACAGGACATCCAGATCAGATTTACAAACGTTTTGTATAAGAATTACTATCTGATTTCAGGTATATTTTTGAGGCTGGGAAAGGTATGTCTTAGCTTTTGTAATTCCCCTTCACTAACCATGTTGAAAGGACTAATTATGTGCTTGTCTAACATGGTGGAAAAAATAAATTGCAAATAAACACTAGATAACTAGTAGAAATTGTCACCAATAGACACTCACTTGATTAAACCATAATGAATTTGGAAAATGTATCCTCTTTATCTCTGTATTTCCCAGCACAAAGTAACAAAGCATGAAAAAAGAAATGAGTAAATAATGAATAAATAAATCTGATTCTATTAGAGCTTAATAGATAACTCTATCTCATTTAGGGTAAAAGACTGGGAAAGAGATGCAATCCTGGAAATTTACCAGGAAGATAGACTGGCTTGTCCATCTGGAGGGAAAATATGATGATTATATACAGATTCCTCAGCTCTGAATTTCATGATCATTTATCTTAGGCTTGCCTTATATGTGTACATGCCTCTATTTCTTAAAACTAACAAATTGTGTAGGATAAAAAAAACGTCAGGAGACTACCATATAGTAACTTTCAGACTCTAGCTCTTCTATATGTGTCTATGCATTTATGTGTTTATTGTGTGTCTGTCTCATAAACCTATTAGCAAACGAAGGTAAGACCTCACTGACTTATTCATCACCATATACCCCACACCGAGCACATGATTGGCACACAAAAGATGCTTAATTAATATTTGTTGTTGAATAAATACATAACTGACATTTCATATATGTCATATAAAACTTAATGGCTTTAAGCTGTTTATTTTGAAGTAAATTATTACTGGGACTTATAATAATCTTATTTTTTCCTTATTAAGCATGCTTGGAAAGACTGTTAATCAATGAAATAATAAACTGTTGTTGAGTTTTAGGCATTTAAAAATAATCTTGAGGGGCCGGCTCCGTGGTGTAATGGTTAAGTTTATGCGCTCTGCTTCGGCGGCCCAAGGTTCATGGGTTTAGATCCCAGGCATGGACCTACACCCCACTTATCAAGCGATGCTGTGGCAGGTGTCCCACATATAAAATAGAGGAAGATGGGCACACATGTTAACTCAAGGCCAATCTTGCTCAGCGAGAAGAGGAGGACTGGCAGTGGACGTTAGCTCAGGGCTTACCTTCTTCAAAACAACTGAATAAATAAATAATCCCTCATGAAGCAAAGCTTTGAATATAATTTGGAGAATAGATGCATAAATATAAAAATAGAACTGAAATACAAAGCAAGTGTGAACATGGCAAGTGACAAACATGAGGCAGAGAGTGCTAACTGCGAAGGAATTCAGAGGATTCATTTGTTCTCTAAGTATTTATTGACCATCATTGTGAGGTGCAGTAATCAGGGAAGGCATTGAGAACGTAGGACGTTAAGAATGCACAGAGCATGTGGTAGTCATGAGAGTGGGCCTCACAGACCTCCTACAGAGAGTATAATTGCTGCACGCTGAGTTACCCTGATTACACTAAGGGAGGCCATGGTTCCCACATGCTGCACCTAGCCAATGACTGAGCACTAAGGCTGTCCTATTTGGGGGAACTACGGAACTCTCCCGAAAGCTGGTTCTTGATTAATGAGTTCCCAAAGTCCTCTCCAACCCTTCCTTGGGCTGCATCCAAGTGCAGTCCAGGGCACTTCCTCCAACCTCTCCTTCCTCTCTCCTTCACTCAAAGTCAGACTGCACTGTAATCAGATAGCTCACCATAACCCACTTACCATTTTCTATCAATCATTGCTCCTGTGTCAAATGAAGAAAAAAAGAAAGAGAGGCAAAAATTACCAATATCAAGAATGAAAGACGGGCCATCACTACAGATGCTTCAGGCATTAGAAGAATGATATTTTGACAATTTTCTGCCAATAAGTTTGACAACCTACATGAAATGGACAAACTCCTTGGAAGAGACAAATCACTAAAGCTGAATGTAAAAGAAACAGAAAATCTGAACAGCCCTTTTTCAACGAAAGGCATTAAATTCATAATTGAAAATCATCCCATAAAGAAAACTCCAGCCCCAGACGACTTCATTGGTGAATTCTATGTAATTAAAAAAGAAATAATACCAATCTTACACACATTCTTTGAGAAAATAAGTGAGAAGGGGACACTTTGCAACTCATTTTATAAGGCCAGTATTTTGTTTACAAAACCAGACAAAAACATCTCAAAAAAAGAGAGAACTATAGCTCGATAGCCCCCATGAATATAGAGGCAAAATCCTTAACAAAATATTAGCAAATCAAATCCAACAACATATAAAAAGTATAATACATCATGCCCAAGCAAAGTTTATTAAAAAATGCTACGTTGGTTTAATGTTTTAAAATCAATCAATGTAATATGCCACATTAATGGAACAAAAGGGGAAGGAAAAGCATACAATATTTTCAATAGACATAGAAAAAGCACTTGACATAACTCAACACCCTTTCATGATAAAAACTCTCAGCAAACAGTGAATGAAGGGAAACTTCTTCAACTTGTCTGAGACTATCTATGAAATGCCTGTGTCAACCAGAGGTCAATTTCTAAAAGACCCCACATGTGTGAATTTTGTATGTTGTTCCAGTACAGTCACTCCTGTCATTTCATGGCTGTCCACAGCCCGTACCAAGGCTCCTTGATATTTATAATCTCACTTCTTGCCAAGAACAAAATACTCTGAACCCCAACGCGCTCTGCTTTGCCCTCTGCCTACTACTAATCTCTCTATCCCCTTCTTTTGACTCTGCAAGACCACTAAAAAGATTAAAAGTACTTCCCTGGAGCATTGTGAACAAAGCGTGATTCTCTTCTACATCTATACACACACACATACACACACACGGGTACACACACACACACACACACACACACACACACACACACTGGGTTTCTCTAATCTCTTCTCAACTTTGCAACAAACTGAACAACTGAAATGTCCTTACTACGTCAACAGACACCCCATTGCTATGCAATGTTTGGCTTTATACTCAACCTCTCTGGGCTTTATTTTCTTCAAAACAAGGTAATAGTGACCTTGCAGAATGCGATGATTAAATAAGATAGTGTTTGGAAAACACATATTACAGTGCCTAACAGAAAAATACTTGATTAAATATTCTCATGCTGCACCTTTTTTCCCTTTAAACATAGAATACTTGGCTTACAGAAAATGTTATTGAAAGATCGTGTTTTCAGGGTTTCTTGGGTTACTGTGGAGCAAATCTTTTGCATGGAATTAGAAATGACCAATTATCTAGTGAAAGCAACAGACTGTTTTCATAGTAAAATAATATTGTTAGTGTATCTAAGAATATTTGTTCTCCTATTTTCTAATAGGATGCATATCAAGTCCACCTAACAGTGGTTCAAAATCATTTAAATTGTAAAAAGCCTTATATTTCATTTCTGGAATTATTGGTTCTTTCAAGTGACTTTTCTGGTCTACTTCGATTCTTGCTGTCAGAGCGGATTTCACAGAAGCATCACAAACTGTGAGTCTGTAGTGAGAGCCTGCTCCTCATCACGTCAACAGCCTCTGTCATAGAATCAAGTGTAGGTAAAGGACCCATTAGCATATGTTCTATTTTCTTTTAAAGATTGGCACCTGAGCTAACATCTGTTGCGAATCTTTTTTCTTCTTCTTCTTCTTCTTCTCCCCAAAGCCCCCCAGGACATAGTTGTTGCATATTATAGTTGTAGGTCCTTCTGGCTCTGCTATGTAGGACGCCCCCTCAGCATGGCCTGATGAGTGGTGCTAGGTCAGTGCCCAGGATCCGAAATGGCAAAACCCTGGGCCACCAAAGCAGAGCGCGTGAACTTAACCACTCGGCCACGGGGCTGGCCGCTAGCATGTGTTCTTAACATAAAGCAATACAGGATATAACTGCAATCCACTGTATAGTAAACGTCCCTACAGCCATATGAAATAGTAAAACGAAAGACCTTAATTTCATTTAGGAAAGAAAAGATGTGAAGTTTTGAGCAATATACAGGAAACATCATTAGTAGCTCTGAAAGGTGTAGAAGTTTGAAAACAGATGGATCATATAGGAGAGAAATTAGAGTTGATAAATCAAAATAGCCTTTAAACAGATCTGGTGAAAAATTATGTTTACATATTTTTTGTTTTGTTTTGTTTGTTTACTCGAAAGTGTTTAATTGAATGAGTTACAATAAGACAAACCAGATTCCTACCTGGGCCAAAGAACTTTAGGAAATTATCTTATGACTATAAAACTAGTGAAAACCTGTTCTTTTGACATTAACAGATATTGTGTAGATATTAATAGATATTGTCCTAAATTTCTCTAATCACCATCATACCTTAGGGCGTGTCCCTGAAGGTACCTTTACTATGACTTCTAATAGCCAGTCATCCTTCTAAAGGCTGGCATCTCTTGTGCTTAAAGTTGCCTCTGTGTGTGTTTGTGTGTGTGTGTGTGTGCACGCATGTGTGCACATGTTTAGGTAATCACACATTCCAACTAACAATTTCCATGTCATACGTTCCTAAGCAGTCTTTTTTGTATTCAAATTTGCTGCTTTGCCGGTCTAGTCAGGATATCTCATTAACTTTCTACAGCTTTTACCAACCCATAGAGGAAAGGAAGGGCATTGTTTGCTCGAAACAAGAAACAGGATTGTTCAGTCTAATAATAATAAAAGACAACTCTATTTATAAGAGACCTAAGGCAGTCTCATGGGGAGATTAGTCTGGAGTTTTAAAATTCTTCAGAAATCAACATTTTTCTTATAGGATCAGAAAACCCCCCCTTCCATCCCAGGCATCTTAACTCCCCTAACTTTCCAATCACAGGTAACAACGACCTCAGAAGTTACTCTCTTTAGGGCAAGTTGAGAGGGAAATGGTCATTCTGAAAAAGATCTGAAAGCAGAAACCCATAGGAGTGGGGGGTGGGCAGGGGGTTCTGAGCTCTTCGCGAGGATTTACCCCACCCTCTGGAGAAGAAAAATCAGTAACATCATTTCCTAGACTGCCACTAAGCAAGAGTAAATTAAATCAAGCATTTTCTTCTTGCACATACTCAATGGCTTCTAAGTAAGTGTAAATCCTTTAAGACCAAATTGTTGGGCTCTGAAATAAATTTCTTAGCTATTGGGTACACTAAATACATAGGGTTGAAGGGATTATCAAATTGAACACAAGTATAAGTATTTTTTCTAGGTGCTTTATTATATGAATTAAATTAGCCCTGTATGAGGTAATTGCTAATATTATTCCACTTTGCAGATGAGAAAACTGAGGTGCAGACAACTAATTTGCCTAAAGTCACATGGCCAGTATTTGGTGGAGGGGTGTGGCTAAGTTCTAGGAGATCCTCAGACGGGAGGTAAACTTTAAGAGACTTCTGGTCTCTTTTATTGGCTGAGAAGGCAGTGAGAATCTGAAATCTTCTCTCACTGGTACCTTGGTTTTCATCTATTAATAGTGATTTATTTTGTACTTATCAATATGGTGTGTATGTTCCTTATCATGAAGCCCACGCATCAATGGGATAAGTTGTATAAGGAAATTACTAGAGAAACAAAGGTTGTTGAACACTCTGAACTCACCGCCTTTCCCTTCTGTTATTTACATTTTTCTCTTAACAGCCCTTGTTTGCAGATTCTGAAGTTTGGTGTAAAATAAATCGTAAGTTTGACACACAGATTTAAAATGTTCTCCTTGCTAGTGCTTTAGTTTCTGAAAGTTGCAGTATGCCCAGGGATGAGCAAAAATGGTAAAATATTAGCATACAATGTTGGAGCATCGCTGAGAACTTCTCTCAAGACTTAGGATTTGTGAACCTGAGATCAGTGGTTCTCACCTGAAGGCAATCTCCATCCTCCCCGGACTCCCTCCCAAGGACACCGGAAGTGTCTAGAGACATTTTTGATTACCCTGCTGTGGGGGGAGGCTACAAGCATCTAGTGGGCAAAGGCCAAGGATGCTGCTAATCATGCCACATTGCACAGGACAGCTCTCCACAACAAATAATTAGCCATTCCAAACATCAACAGTGCCGCTGTTAAAAAGCCCTGTATTAGAATAATAAAAAATTTTCATAGGATATACTTTTATAAATTACTGCTTTAGAAAAGTTTCTTGGACAAAGCATGTTATATATGTTGTGCTGATGTCCATGTACAAATAATACTTATATATAATTACTATGCAAAATAAAATAAGAAGAAACGTGTAGTCATTTAGTATTTGTGTGTGTGGTTCTGAGCGTAAATACTGAATTAAAAAGATATTCCTCTGTGAATTGGTTGAGGCAATCTATTTTTCTAGTGTACCAGTCTTTATACTCTTCTGTTTGTTCACTGGAAAATGGATTATAGTACAATGTTTAAACATAACAATATTCATTTATTAGAGTATAATTTCTTAGAGGTCAGCACATGTCTTATTATACACTGAATCACTCAGAAAACCTAGAACAGCTTCCCGTACACAGTAAATGCTAATGTATTGGATAAACGGATGGAGATATGGACAAATGAATGAGCAAATTCTGGCCCAAGAATTCAAGTTCATGATATATTTCCATTTAGACAATGTACGCTTTAAGCTAGAAACATCAGAAATGGCCATCTGAATATCAGTATCTTACAGCTAATTCACTCTTCATCTTTATGTTAGGTAGAAAATGTGGCTTAAAGCAGTCTTGGATAAAGTTTACTTGCAGGAGATAATCCGGATTTCAGTGGGCTAATTACAGCAAACAAATCTGTGGTTCATGAGTTAGGATCATCCGTTGTAAAATGCTATGATCTTCTATTTACACACAAACAAACATGCCTAAAAGTATACATAATTTTATAAAAATTAGCATGCAGTATGTGTCATTACGGCAAGAATTTTTAAGGTGAAGCTTCTGAAATTTTATGCAAAATCACGTTTGTATTGGCATGTAAATATTATTCTGAAGTGAGTAAATACAACTTTTATTAGCTCCATTATTGGATCTGTGGCCCCCAGAGGGATCTCAATACCTACTGCTCTGTGGTAAAATAAAGAGCATCAGTAAATACCAGTGCACCCCTAGGTTTTAGCACAAGGAGGAGTAACCTGACTCCAACAGTTAGGAGCTTCCTGAGCACTGGAAGTTTCTAAAGGAGTGAAAGAGCAGAGACAAGGGCTGCCATCCCTTCTTTCTGCTGTCGGTAATCCTAGATTACAGCATCCCATAATAAACCAACGAGGAGCCAGATCTTCACCCGACAATAATGTAATGATGGTTTCTGGGCAAGTGTCACAGGTCACCTAATTTCCATTTAAGGAATATTCCTGGGGAGCTTATGAAAATACATGCTAAGGGATGAGAAAAACTTTTCACCATTCTCTGAACCCATGACTATGAAAGACATTACTAATCAATCAGGCACTTTCTCCAACTCTGTCTCCAGGTGCAATGCCCTGAATACTTCTCAACACCATGTTCCAGGCAGCCACTATTAATCAATCAGTTTGCAAACATGATGAGACCTATTTGCTGCCCCTAATTAAGATACCAAGATCCAAAGACTGCAGCTGTTGGTCCTTAGTATTTGTCTACTTTTCATGCTACAGTTTATAAATTCTCTCAAGCACAACACAGTATGCTTTATAATTCTATTTTAATTTTTAAACTTTATTTTTTTAATTTTAACTTCATTATGTAGCAAGAAACTTTTCTAGATTCTGAACATAATTTACCTGATAAGTAAACAGTGGGCAGTCTCAACCAATTCACAATCTGACATAATTTTAGAGAGAGAAAGCTTTCTAGAGTTATACCGAGTTTTAGTTACCACGCACTTTAGTCCATCCTGCCAAGCCAGAAGAATCCTTCTTAATGCTCCTGGGTCCCAAGAAAGCAAGGCCCTTTCTATCTTTGCCTGTCTCCAGCTCTCGACTTCACATGCAAACAGCCACCTAGATTCAGACACTAAGAGGTGTTCACAATTTCCACCTACTACGTCTTGAGGCTTAAATGCTGTCCCTTCTGGGCTTCCAACTCATGAAGTAACTTCCACTAGAAGCAGTTGCTTTGAAAACTCTTCCAGGCTTTCTCAACTCAAGCTTTTTAAAATGTACCAAGAATCTTCATAACTCTGTCCTCCTCCACTTACAACTTTCCATCTCCCAACCTGGATCCTGGTATTTCTTCCAAGAAGAGTTCTATTTTCTAGACATTCATCTCTTGGGTATGGCCTCTTCACAGGACCAACAGGAATAACCATATAATATATACATAAATTGTATAAATTACAGATGTTAAACATATATTTATTACTCTGGCCCCATTGTGCCTCCAATCTTCAAATATGATACTTTTGAGGATCATAGCAGCCCCTTTATTTATTCAGCCAATGAGCATATTACCAGTATGGGTAAGATTGACTATTTTCTCCCTAAGGGGTTTGGATCACCACTGTATGCAACAAAGCTAAAGACAGGGATAGAATACAAGACAGAAACTTTGTTCTCAACCGATTGTACCCGTGCTTCTGGTTTTCAAAGCTAGAATGGAACTCAAGAGCAATAAAATGGAGAAAAAAAGGACACACCTTGGTTTGGGCAAAAAATAAGAATGGACAGAATCAGGCAAGGCTGGGTCTTCCTAAACACTGGAGCTTTCCAGGAAAGAGGAGGAGGAGAAAAGCCCACAGCTATAGAATCCCATGACAAATCTCAAGAAAATATCAGGAAAAATAATAAATACAATCCCAATCAGTAGTATTACTAAATTCATACTTATTTTTGATTCAGAATGAATGAATTTTCTTTAGTCACGACAACATCTTTCATGACTTAAAAAAATTAAGTAGTATTAGATATACAGAACACAGTGCAGCACACTAAATCAGTATCTCTTGCAGTTTCCTTGATTTCAGGAAAAACCTTATTTATACTCAGCTAACTAGTCCCTTCCAGAGTTTTAAGGCTGGGGTAAAATCTAAGCATTATTATCGAGGCTTCTCAAAATAATCTGAAAAGGAAATGAAATGCTTCCCCTTTCTTTAAATCAGTCTCCACCAAGTCAGGAAGAATTTTGAAAGCACTGCACTAATTTAAGGAGCCCCAGTTGAAAAAAATCATAAATGGGCAAGATTCTCTGAGCTTGCTAAATGCAGGCACTTCTTTTATAAAATTCTAATTACAGAAGGAGGTTACCAGCGCCCCCCTCCGGAAGAAAAACGGCGGGATTCTTCCTCCTCTTTCTGGAGGCGAAATGGAACAGCTTTGGAAGGCAGTGAGAACCGTCGCGGGGACTGCAAAAAGGAGGTGCTTCTCTCAATCAAAAATACCTTGGACATATCTATTGATGACTTCGGGCGCGTCATATAAATCTACAGAGACAAACCCTTCCTGGAAAATCAAATCTTGCGGTTAGTAAAGGCATGGGAGAGGGCGACACCTTGGCACGTGGGGAACCGGGGAGAAGATCGCTTGTGTACAGCCGGCTCCGAAACCCCAGACAAGTCAGAGAACTGCGGGCCAAGTGACCACCAGGAGTGGTAGCTCTCGGTGGCCTCTGCCCCAGCCCAGCCCCGGGACAGGAAGGGGCGACAAGGAAACAGAAACAGGGAGGCGCGCGCTTGGTACCCGGAAGGCGGCTGCCTGTCGGTCACCGCTCCGCGGCCGGTTGGAGGTGAAGGTGGCGCTGGAGCCACAGCAGATGCAGCAGCAGCAGCAGCAGCAGAGCAACCAGAGCCGCCACAGCGCCTGCAGCTCCATCCCTGAGCCCAAGGCCGGGGCGCCAGCCTCCGCCACTTTCTCTTTCGATTCCTCTGCTCCGCCCCTCCCAGGGTTTGAGGGGCGGGAGCAGCGGAGCGGGGTGCGGCGTCCTGGAGACTCTGACGCTTCCTTAGTCCCCATCACTCTGTCCCTGGAAGTCTGGTTGGCTGGATACTGTTGGGCTCCTCGCTGTTTTTTTGTGGAAGCATCAGGCGTATGAGCACGTGCTTTCTGGTTTCATCTCCGGTCTTTTAAAGAAAAGCCTGAAAACACAAATAATTGTGTGATCTGCACTTCCAGAATGAAGTCCTTTATTTTTCTTTTTATCTCAGATTGGAAGATTCAGGCGGTAGTTGAATTTAGCTTGACCTTCACCCTGTTCCTCCTGCAGTGGTTCCTAATGTTCAAGACCTAATTCTGAAATAATGCTGCGAATTGACACACAAACATTTCATTCATTCATTCAGCAGAAGTTTATAAATACGTAACGAAAATTTACAGTTGTGAAAATAATACACAATTTCTTGATATATTATGGCCATTTCAACACTCTCGAAGCCTGTTTTTCCACTTGCAAAGGAAGATAGGCATAGCACCTACTTAAGTTTTCATGAAATTTAAATAAAACCATCCTCGTAAAACATTTTGTAAGATGCCTGGCACATTTTAAGTGCTCCATGTTAGCTATTAATTTTTATTTTTAAGATAGCTTTTCCCATTATATTATTATTTTTACACTGCTTTCCACCTGCACAGCCTAGTTCATAATAACCATTCTTCATGCTTTCTTCTCCTTGTTATTTTTTCAAAGCATTTCACTTCATGGTAACCCAATATTAGAGAAGATTGCAGAAGGAACAAAGTCATATTCACATGAGTTAACATCCCAACCTGGCAGCATCTCAGGGGAAGGATTTTCTGGGGGAAGGGGAGCAAGACCCTTTCAGATGTCTGTCATCACAGCAGTGCTGGATGACTCTTGAATCAGCTCAGCTTTGTTTCTCAAATTTAAAGTGCACAGGAAATGCCAATTCTAGTCCAGTAGGTCTGGAGTGGGTCCTGATTCTGCTTTTCTAACAAGCTCCCGGGGGTTGCTGTTGCTGCTGGTGGCACAGGGCACGCTTTGAGTAGCAAGCAGTATGCCACCGCCACTGTTTCTCCAGTTCTCCTCATGCAAGGGGAAAATGAGAAGAGGTCTGGGGTATCCACCTCAGAAAATTCTGCATGCTTTTATGGGCATTCCTCCTCTGTTTGTGTCCTTGGACCGAAAGTAGTAGCTGAGTGATGTTGTCTTCTCTGGGCCTCAGGACCAGCTGTGTAATCTGCTGCATCCAGTGTGGAATGAAAATGGAGGCCTCTTATTCATAAATTGTTCAGAATTTCAAGACGGCAGCAGCAGAGCATTAAACCAAGCGATGAGCGCTTCTAAGCACGGGCTCCTCTTCGACTGCACAGGCCACACATCCATGAAGGAATCTCTACTGGGCCTTTTGTTGTAACCGTTTCTTTTTAAGCTTTTTGGTGAGGAAGATTGGGCCTGAGCTAACAGCTGACATCTGTTGCCAATCTTCCTCTTTTTTTCTTTTTCTCCCCAAAGCCCCAGTACATAGTTGTATATCCTAGTTAAGTCTTTCTAGTTCTTCCATGAGGGATGCCACCTCAGCATGGCTTGATGAGTGGTGCCATGTCCGCACCCAGGATCCACTTTGGCAAACCCCAGGCCAACAAAGCAGAGCATGAGAACTTAGCTAGTTGGCTAAGGGACAGCTCCTATAATCTTTTCTTACCAAGGCTTCCATAAGCATTCAAAATTGTTGCCATAGCCCTCTTAGCCTTTTTAGAACCACCATCCGATTTATATCTTTAGTTTTTACCTAAAGTGAGTCATACTATTCTCTGATGCAAAATTGGTAATAAAAATAAGTACCTCTATTCTGAATATTACGAGGAAAGATATGGAAGACTTTGTAAATGCATGTGTGATGAGATATATTGCTCTTAGAATGTGTGAGGATAAAGATTTAATTTAGGTAATAAGTGCACAGATCAATGTTCACCTCAACCCGGACAGTTTCTCTTCATCCAGCGTCGTCTTGTAAGTCTCTCAAGCCAACACATTTTATTTTTAAATGCAGGTTTGCTTTTAGATCCTAACTACTGTTTATTGACAACCTACTGAGTCAGAAAATTTAAATACACGCAGCCATCCTTACCCCAGGATAACTGGTGCAGTAAAAGAGCCATTTGAACTAAATTTACTTCCTAAGCCCACATCAGCAAAAGCTTTTTGAGCGCCTATTAAGTGCCAGGCATTGTTCTAGGTAATGAGGATACATTAGCACAGAAGTGAGTAAAGAGACAAAAATCCCTGCCCTCACAGAGCCCGTGTCCTGTGGGGAGAGCTACAGGGCAATTAGTGAGTGCTATGGAACGATAAAATGGGCTCAGGAGAGTCGGGAGTGCCAGGGCTGGGAGTTGCAATTTTAAGTAAGGTGTTTGAGGGAGATGTCCCTGAGGAGGAGGCATTTGAACAAAGATTGAAGGAGGGAGGAGTGAGATCTTCAGATGTTTCGGGGAAAAGAAACTAAGAGAGAAGGAATAGTCAGTGCAGAGGCCTTGAGGTAGAAGAATGCCTGACCTGTGCTAGAAACTTAAAAGAAGTCTGTGTGGATGGAGTAGAGAGAAAGAGGGGGAAAGTAGAAGATGGAAGAAATAAGAAGCACACAGATTGTTTATATCCTTGTAGGTTAGTTAAAAGGGAATCAAAATGATCTATTAAATAGTAAAAAAAAAAAAAAAGTGGCTTGAAAGGCTATTATCTTGAAAAATGAAGGTTAGAAGTATCAGCTAATTTTTAGAATAAACACTATAAATTGCATCTATATGGGAGGTGTAATTGTTTTCATTAAATTTGAGAAATGGTAGATAGGGTTTCCTTCACTCCTGTATTAGTTATCTATAGCTGCATACCAATAAGCCCCCAGTTTAGCAGCTTACCAGTACGAACATTTCTGATCTCACACAGGTCCTGTGGGGAGCTGCCTGGCAATGGCTTCGCCTGGTAGTTCTGGCTCAGGCTCTCTCATGAGGTTGCAGACAAGGCCGTCAAAAGTGGCTGTAGGCATCTGAAGGTTTTACGCGGTTGGAGGATTTGATTTCAAGCTCACATGGTGGTTGGCAGGAGTCCTTAATTCTTCCCAGGCTTTTGGACAAAAGCCTCAGATTCTTACCACCTGAACTCTCCAGAGGGTAGCTTGTGGCATGCCAACTGTGTTTCTCCAAAGTGAGTGCTTAGAGAGACTGAGAGAATTGGCAAGGGAATGACTAAGATGGAACCTAGTCTTGAAAGTAGCATGCCATCTCTTCTACTCTTGGTTACACAGACCAAGCCTGGTATAGTGTGGAAGGTGGGGCTCAGTGAGTGTCATCTGGAAAGCCAGCTACCAGAAGCTCATCTTTGATTTTAGTATCCCGGTAACAAATGTGGTCATTTTTTGTGTATGATAAAAATCCAGGACTTCATCCATTTTCAAAAATGCTTCCCAACCTCTATGATATTCAATACCTTATTTATTGTTGTTTCTATCCTGTCAAGAACCGTCTGATTTTTCTTCAGTTTTTAAGCATTCTACTTCATTTTAAAATGGCTTTGTTATGGAGTTATTTTGTTTGTTTTTATTTTTGCTTAGTAAACTCTCATGTGGTTAGTATGATTTACCACGCATTGTGCTAAGCACTTTGCAAATATTACCTTTATTTAATCCTCATAAGACACCCTTGTAGTATATAGCATTATCATTTCCATTTTATAGATAGGGAAACTGAGGCATAGAAAAGTTGAGGTGCTTGCTCAAGGTTATACAATCTAGTAACTGGTGAATCCGGTATTTGAATCCATGGAGTCTACACTGGCATATGCTGTGCAGCCTCTCCAGTTCTTTGTCATCACTTTTATATACTTCATGAAATTCTGCATCTTCTCAAGATATGCATCATTAACTCATTAGCAATGATCACTATAATTGGATGAGATATTGTAGCTTCAAATAATCAACTAAAGATTGTCAAATAATTTGAAACACAAGCTGAGAAAGACGTTAGTGTTAAACTAGGAAAAATGATTGAATGGCTATTAATTTTATAAGAGATTAGTTCTTTAGTGACTGTTTTTGTGATGTGAGGGATTTTACCTCCCTGCACAACCTCAGGACTGCAGAGTTCAGATTATGAACACACCGATAAGGAATCTTGTCCGTTACCTCTAATCCTTATAACAACCCTGCAAAGTAGGAAGTATCATCCTCACCTTTCAGAAGAGGAAACTGACTTGTATAGTGATTAAGGAATTTATTCACGATCCTAAGTAGTAGGTGGTCACCGTGAGGTTACATTGAGCTGTCAAGCTTCAGAGTCCACGCATGCTTTTCCAGCTACGCCAGGCTGCCCTCAGTTATTCCAAGGCATATCTTGCGGTTGCTTCTTCTTCTTCTTTTTATTTTGTATTAGCATTTCATTAATCATACCTTTTGTAGTCCACTATAAGCTATGTTCTAATATAACTTATAAGAAAGCTTGACACTGGGTAATGCAGTTGAGTCATTGTATTCCCTTTGAGTTGAGGAATTGTTTATTCCTTTTTAATTTTTCTCCATAAACTAGGAGAAGGGATCTTATTCTTCCAGGCAATTAATTAGCTAGTGTCTGCATTGAGAGATCTGATTAGCTCTGGCCTAGGATTTTACACTGAAAATTTTCCTAACGCCATGAAATCTTCTCCCTCACCGCCGTTTGTTATTCTTGCTGTTGATTGAGTTCATAGAGTCATTGCTGCTGTCTTTCACCTCTTGTACTGGCAACACTTCACAGGGACTGTATAAATCCTGAAGGAGAAAATGTGTTACATGAATTTCTAGGTAGGAGTTTAAATTTCCTTTCTGACCAAAACAGAAGAAATGCTGTCCGAACAGCCACCGCTAATGGGAAGGATTTATCAGACCTTAGAAGTAGATCACTCCAGTTTCTCAGCTGGAGGGGAAAGGCTGCAGCAGAGGCTGCCAAGAATGTGGTAAAACAAAGGCGAATGTGGTAACTTCACGGGCCAGCTTCTAACGAGGAGGGAAAATACCGTTAATGAAAAGCCATAATGGATACCTTCT